CCCTCTCTCGCCCCCTCTCCCCTCTCTCGCTCTCCCTCTCCTGCCTCTTGAACCGCCTCCTCCTTTCAGCTGCACATACTCCCGCCAGATCCTCCTCTGCTCCTCCTCGATATAAACTTCTTTCCAGGGCTCTTTTTAGGACTCTTCTTAGGACTTTTCTTAGGACTTCTTTGAAATCTTCCTTTTTTTCCTGTCTCATCTCCTCCTGAAACCGACACGCTCTCACCACCCAAGACAAGGCTCACCACCAGATACCTCCACCACATCATCCTCACTGTCAGAGGCATGAGAACCCTCCACCCCCGTCTGCTCTCTCTGTTCCCCCTCTCCGATTCACCCCACCCCCGGTTGACCGTCCTCTGGTTGACCCTCTACTAATTGACCCTCCGGTTGGCCCTGACCCTCACTCCACTCCCAGCATGTACTCTGCTCGGACCAGCCACCGGAATCCCTTCCCCCCCCCCCCTCCCTCCACCGTCCTCTTGCCTCCTTCCCCCTTTTCCTCCTCCCCTTTTCCCCCTCCCCCACTTCCCCTCCCCCACTTCCCAATCCTCCACTTCCCACTCCTCCACCTCCCCCTCCTCCCACTCCTCGTCCTCATCAAACGGGCCCCCCTTTCCCTTTCCTCCGGGCACAGCTTTGCCCCATTCGCTCCACTCCCTCTCGCCCTCCTCCACAACCTTCTCCTTCCCCTTCCCCTGCCCTTTCCCCTTCCCTTCACCCTTCCCCTTCCCCTCTCTCCTGCCACTCACGCTCCCACGCCCGCTGCCTCTGTGCCTCCCATCCATGGCCCCCCTCCGCCCCCCAACAGCACCACCGCCATCACCATCACTGTCACCATCATTCTCATCATCATCATCATCGTCGTCGTCAGAAAGCGTTGCCAGCATTCGCCTAGCACCCTGAGGCACAATGACTCACAAAGAGCCAGTGGCACAGTGAAAAACAGACACAAAAAACGGTCAAGTGTTGGAGGACCAGAAGGTTACGTGTTCAAAGGATGCTGCAGTGAAAGGCTAACAAGGGTTTAACTAGCCTAGAAAGGTTTCACTCCCAGTGAAGTATTTGAGAGGGGATGTCCTGAACATAGAAGAAGTGGAAAGGTGGGGAGGGGGGTGGGAGGCAAGTGAGGAGGGGCGCAAATGGAGGGGGGACTTACGGGCCCAAGGGAAACGGATCCCATAAATATGGAGGAATTGGGAAAGGCGGGAAGTGAGAAGGGTGCAAGGGGAGCGGGCTTACCGGGCCAATGAAGCCAGCTGATCGGCATTTGCTGCGAAAGGGAGACGGCATGTCCTTGTCATTGTCATCAGCATCGTCCCCCTTGATCAGCCTCTGCGTGGACCCGAATGCATCACCACCACGATCATCACCCTCATCCTCATCCTCACCCTCACCCTCGCTCTGGGAGTCAGAGTCCACAAGTGACACCACGTCATGGTTTCTCACCCCTTTCCGTTTGTTTCCCTCATTCTCCTCTCCTCCCGCATCTCCTGCCGCCTCACCCTGTCCTCCCACACCTTCCATCCCCCCCTCTCCCACTGCTTGCTGTGCATTCTCCGTTGCAGCAGCAAGCCCAACCCCTCATCCTTCTCCCTTTCTACCTCCTCCTTACTCTTCCCTCCCAACCTCTCCTCCTCACACTTCTCCTTCTCCTCTTTCTCCTCGCTCTTCTCCCTCTCCCCACCCAGTTCCTTGCTTTCTTCACCAACAGCTGCTGCTCCATCCTCTACCGCGCTGCTGCTGCCTCACCTCCTTCTGCTGCTGCCTCACCTCCTTCTGCTGCTGCCTGCTTATCTTCTGCAGCGGTTCTTGCTGCATCTTGTCCTGCCGCTGCTGGTGCTTCTGACGTTCCTGCCCGAACGCCTTCGCTCTTCTCTTTCCCCTTCTCCCTATCCCCCCGATCCCGCACTCTCCCTTTCCTCCTCCTCTCCTCCCCCTCGGTCCCTCGACGTCGCTTCTGAACTGCTCCTTGGTTCGCTCTTCCTTTTGCTGCTGAGGGGGAGCCAGAACCAGCTGCAGAGAGAGAGCATGACACAGGCACAGGGAGACAGAAAGTCGAGTTGACGCAAAAAGACACTGGAAACTCTTCTGCACTGCTCCTTGGTTCGCTCTCCCTTTTGATGCTGAGGGAGAGCCAGAGACCAGCTGCAGGACGAGAGCAGGACATGGGCACAGGGAGACAAACGCGTCTTGTTGTAAAGAGATGGGGAATAAAATTGCACCATGAGAGACATCCAGAAACTATCCGTTGCAGAGCAGAACTCGGCGCAGTGTAGTGCGGGCACGAGTGGACAATAAAAGACGTCTTAGTGTGTGTGTGTTGTGTGCTTTTATGAATTGAAGCATGCCTGGGCTTGGGTGGACGAGTGGCGGAGGGAGGAGGAGCAGCCCTTGCCGCAGACGAGGCAGAAGGAGTTGAGAGTGGAGACAAGAAAACAATACGAGACGTCTATGTGTGTTCCTTTTCGTAAGAGTACAGTGAAGCATACCTGGGCTTGGGTTGACGAGTGGCGGAGGGAGGAGGAGGAGCAGCCCTTGCCGCAGGCGAAGCAGAAGGAGTTGAGGGTGGAGACGAGCAGAGGGCGCAGCAGCGGGTGGTATAACCGGCATCTCAAATGATATGTGCCCGAAATGACCTGCAGGGGGTGGGGTGGGGTGGGGTGGGGTGGGGTGGGAGAGGTGCGCGGGGAAATGAAAGATTAGTTCGCTGAGTCACAACACCACAGGAGACGAGCACAGGGCGCAGCAGCGGGTGGTACAGCAACATCTCAAACGCTATGTGCCTGAAATGACCTGCGGGGTCGAAGAAGTGGGAGGGGGAAGGGACGGTGCTTGGGAAGAGAGTGAGCGAAGGAACTCAATGGGAGTCCACACATTTGAGGAGATTTCCATCAAAGAACACGCACATGCGTTACTCACTTACTTGTACACGTCAGCAGCCCTGTTACTCACCTGTACACGTCTGAGCGCTCTTGCCGCACGTGCCGCATCGGTTTTCCTTCCGATTTCGTACCCCCAACAACGAACTGCTGACGTCAGCAGGCTTGGTGCATTTAAGCACCGACCAGCGCTCCTGAAAATACAGGGGAGGAGTGGGGGGAGGGAAGGAACTCTCAGAAATACTAACTTTCATTAACCATTCTGACAATCAGATCTTGAAAACAGTTCCTGAAAATAGCTGGCTGCTAAGGAAGACGCAACAAAAACTATGTTTGCCAAAAAGTGGGGAAGTCAAGGCTCTTCAGTCTGCTAATTTGGTAGCATATTTTTGGAACCAGGCAACCACCAACATACCACGTCGGTCCATTTCGCATGCTCAAACGTCAGACTTTCGACGTGCTCCGCCATGGGAAGCAGTTGTCAGGGGGTCTTCTGCTAATAAGAGGTTTGCAGCGTGCCTGGGGGAGGGGACAGGTCGGTAAAGAAGGGCGGAAGCAGGCAAATCAGAGAACGCCAGGGGAGGGACAGAGTGAAGGGCGGGGGAAAATTGGAAGGGGTGGGCGGAAACAGGGGGTAGATATGTGGAGAACGTAGAGGGGGAGAGCAGGAACGTAGGGAGTCGGAAATCGGAGGATCGATAAACCGACAGAGTGTAGGACAGAAGAACAGAGCGAGTGGGATGGGGGAGCGTGCCCCAAAGGCATATGGAATGCTTAGCACAGACCCCTGGTTGCAGGATCAAGGGCTAAATGAGTTACCTTTGAGGTTTCCCCAAGGCAAGGTAGATTCTATTTTCCTAACATAGCCGCGTAGCTGCAAGGTCAAAGGCGATATGAGTTATTCATAAGGTTCTTGGAAGGTAGGTTCTATTTTTTCTAGCAGAAACGCGTGTCAAAGGTTATCGAGCGTGTGAGCGCTAGGACGACGCGCTAACGGCGGTTGATGGTAGCAGGATGAATAAGGGAAGGCGACGGGGAGGGAAAAGAGGGCGACGTGGAGGGAAAACGAGGGTAGCAGTTTGACGCAGCAATTATGTTTCTTACTCGGTACAGGGTAATGACAGAGGGATGTGAAGAGCCGTAATGTGTGAAGAGTCGCGTTCGCTCGCGCTAGTGCCGTAACCAGCGGGATGTGCTCATTCCATCCGCTACACTCGTAACTGATAAACAGCCGCAAATACTATCGCGCGTGTCGCGCGCGAGAGACGGGGATTATCCGGCTCCCTAGTTGTACACTATAACGCCTCGGAAGTAAGAGGACATCACGGGTTGTCTAGGCGAGATGATTAACCGCACACTCTGGGATTTGCTGCCATTTGTTAACTGGATGTGTCAAGCTAACCTGATAGATCCCTGATTGTGTCAGGCTAACCTGATAGGTCCCTGAATGTGTCAGGTTAACCTGATAATAATCGCTTGCTAGGTCCCTGATTTCTAAATAGTCTACTTAGAGTCAGACACTTGGAGTGCATGCCAGAGCCATTTTCAAAAGACTGGGACGCCATGCATGGAACTAATCTCAGGCAGCATGGCATTCCCGGCATGCATGGGTCTAATGTCAGGAAAGATGGTCAATGTCATGGTACGCATTCTCCGAGGTTCCCTATCATATCGGCTATGATCGACTCAAGCCACCAGAGAACTCAAGCCAGTCGGTCAGCAGAACCGTTCCCGCGTTTCTAGCTATCAGCGCTTTCAACAACATCAAGGTTTGATGTTTCCAGCCAGCCTCGAGAATGCCAAGACATTTGAGCTCCTATTCTTCGATATAAAGCGCTCCATGAATGGGAGAGGAGAATTTTTGTACAGCCAAAAATAGATTCGGCAGCGTGTGCGTTTTCGTTTTCGATCCATGTCCGGTTTATTTTCTGTGGATAGCGTTCCGAAGCTGTAACGCCTGAGAACCATGTCTCCGCGTGAGGAACCCAACAGAACCGTACTAAATGACCAGAACCAAACACACTGGCCTATCCGTGCCGCGACCCATTCACGGAAGTTCGTACACGCCATCCGCTTTACTGCTTGAAGTAAAATCTTCAACCCAAACATGCTGGTGCCAAAACAGGTTTCTATAGCGTACACGTTGCTGCTTGTTCGGACGGCCAATTCTTGCGGGACACGTTTCCCTGACATTCCCCTGCTTCTGTGGCTGTGGTCTGCTGCGTCCGCTGTGGTCTGCTCTTTCAAAGCTTCACGTCCAGCAAATTCGTCCAGCATTCCTCATTCCGTAAGCTTCCCTCACAGGTCTCACTGAGACGAGTTACGAGTGTGCATTTCCCGTAGGTTCCGTGCTGCGCCGACGTACCGTTTACCGACTGCCGGACTGTTGGCGGCGAAGCTGCCGTAGCTTTTTTCAACGTTCATTCTTACATGGTCATCAAAATTTCGAATTTCGAGCATTGTAGATAAAGTTGGCTGCAATGTCGGTCACAGTCTCATAACATGAGCTTTCCTCATCCTGGCGGTGCTTAATCAGCAAAAACACCCGAATTGCAAACAATATGCCTGTCGCACCGCCGTTTGACGTAAGATCCCGAGTTAGAGCGACGTTTTCGTAACATAAGGAAGCATTGCGGAGCAATGTATTCGTAACGTCGTGAAATCGTCAAGTGAGGAAGCCGTAGCATTATTCACGATGCCGACTTAATCGTGGACACACAGTACGGGATACTAGCCACGATGCCGACTTAGCAACTTCTGAGACGTCTCAACAGTACGGAATAGCAGCCACGATGCCGATTTAGCAGTGGACGGCAGTGCGGAATCTGTCAACTTGTGTTGGTATACTCATTCACTTCAGAGACTCTTTCAAGTGCGGAACGTTGCGCCTCATTGTACATAATCCCTTACTCCCGTCGCCTTTTCCGTACACCTCGATTTAGCTAGTGATCGCCTTGTGCAATAATCGAGCGTTGGGACGTCTCAGCGTTCGCAAGCTGTCGCCTTGGCTCAAGGCGACAATGAGCACGGAAACACTCGCTGCTCCTCCGCCAACTGTTACCGGCTCTAACGCCGCCAGCCAGAAAATGCCAGCGATGGGATTCGAAGAGCGGCTCAGGCGGATGTGTGATCGAGCCAGGCAGATCGACGAGGGTGCTGGAAAGGGCCTGTCTGAAGGCGAGAAACAGCAATGCCTGGAGGAGCAGAGGGAGGAGGTGAGATAAATCTGAGAGGGACGAGATGAGCCTGAGAGGGGTGAGATGAGGCTGAGAGGGGCGAGATGAGGCTGATAAGGGTGAAATGACGCTGGGAGGAATAGTCTGAGAGGGGTGAGATGAGGCCAAAATGATCGGTGGGATGAGTAGCTACGCTACCAGGCTTCCCTTTAGTCCACAACCACCAGGTGGTAGACCACCCTTGTCTCCTCATGAGTTCTCTAGTTACTTCTCCATGCCCTGCCTCCTCATGAACATCCTCTTTTCGACGCCCTGTACCAGGTGGAGGCCCTGCAGTCTATTTTTGATTCCGACTTTGAGCCCATCTGGCTCGCAGCATCCTTCTCCTCTTCCACCTCCTCACCCACCACCTCCTCTACTCCGGAAGAAGCGGCTGCCGCCAGTTTCTCAACCGCTCCTTACAACTGTTTCATGGTACGAGATTAGCTGGCTTTTGTTGCAAGCGATGCCCACTGTCTGTACTTTCCGTTGAATCAGTACAACGGACCATCATGATGAATATTTCTAGATATTTGGAGAAAAAAAAAAAAAAAAAATCCGAGACTTTTAGACTTTGGGTGCTGTAAGAAGCCGTTCCATTGCTTTTCTCTCTTTACCTTGTGCTGTGTGTTCTCGCCCTCACCCCTCCCTGTTTAGATTGACATCCGCATCACCATACCCTCGCCCATGCTCGTGGTCCCCTCACCCCCTGGTGTATTTTGAGTCGAGTCGACTCAAATCACACTGCCTGGTTAACCTTCTGTCGCCCCTCTCTCCTTCCCCTTCCCTGTTCAGATTGACATCCGCATCACCATACCCTCGCCCATGCTCGTAGTCCCCTCGCCTCCTTCTGAGTTGACTCAAAAGTCTCCTTTGAGTCAACTTTCTCTCCCCTTCCCTCCCTTTTCCCATGCAGATTGACATCCGCATCACCATACCCTCGCCCATGCTCGTGGTCCCGTCCCCTCCTTCTGCCTCTGATTCCGCTTCCTCAACCACTTCTTCCAACCCCTCCTCCTCCTCCTCCTCCTCCTCCTCCTCCTCCTCCTCCTCCTCCTCCTCCTTCTCCTCCTCCTCCTCCTCCTCTTCCTCCTCCTCCTCCTCCTCCTCCTCCTCCTCCTCTTCCACCACCACCACCACCTCTCCCCACTCCCCTCTCCCTTGCCCCTTCCTCATCTCGCATCTCCCCCTCTCCGCCTGCTCGCCCTCCTCCCCCACACCTACCCCTCCGCCTCTCCTCCCCTCTTCGCCCTCTTCTCCTCCTGGCTCTCCCACGCCCAGCTAGCACGCCTCTGCACCCAGCTGGACGCCACGTGGCAGCAGCAGAGTGGCCTGGTCGTGCTGTACACGTGGGCAGCGTGGCTTGGCGAGGAGACGCTGGGGTGCCTTGGGATTGGCCAGGAGCTGAGGCTTACAGGTGTGGAGGGATGGTGCGGATCGGCAGGAGGAGGAGAAGGAGAAGGAAAGGGAGAAGCATCAGCAGCAGCAGGAGCTGCTGCATTGTCGTGCTCATGCCAAGATGCACCAGTGGGGGGGGCAGCAGTAGGGGGCGCAGCAGCAGTTGGAGTCACACCTGTGACCGGCGAACCAGCAGGGTACTGCAGGGCAGTGTACGAGGGCATGTCTCTACAGGACGATCTAGCTCTTCTCAAGCGGTGGAGCAAGGAGATGGACGACCGTGTCTTCCGGGCGTCACTGCACTCCTGCGCCATCTGCTTCTCTGAAAAACCCGGATCGGAGTGTGTGCGTGCCGCGTGCACGCATGCATTCTGCACGGCATGTATGAGGGCGTTTGCAGAGGCGCATGTGGCTGAGGGCAATCTCCAGGCGCTCAAGTGCCCGGACACCAAGTGCCGCGCTCCCCTCTCCTATGGTAAGTCTTCTCACACACTCCTCTCCTTTTTCCTCAAGCGGTGGAGCAAGGAGATGGACGACCGTGTGTTCCGTTCATCTCTCCACGCGTGTGCCATCTGCTTCTCTGAGAGGCCCGGCTCCGAGTGTATGCGTGCCGCGTGCACACACACGTTTTGCGGTGCGTCCATGAGGGCGTTTGCAGAGGCGCACGCACGTGACTGAGGGAAGTTTACAGGCGCTCCAGTGCCACGACACCAAGTGCCGTGCTCCGCTTTCCTACGGTGGGTATGCTAAACGTCAACAGACAGAACTGTTGCGGTGCTGTGTTCTCTGCCGCCCTCCCCCCTCAGATCCCCTCTGTGTCCCGGCCCCACAGATCTCCTGCGCACACTCTTCCCGGCTGACCTGTTCTCTCATTGGGAGCAGCTCACCCTTCAACGATCCCTAGACGTCATGCCCGACATTGCCTTCTGCCCGCGCTGCAACCACTGTCCCCCCTTCCCCACTCCGCATCCCAAACCCCTCCCTGCAAACCCACAGATCTCCTGCGCACACTCCTCCCTGCTGACCTGTTCTCTCGTTGGGAGCAGCTCACCCTGCAACGGTCCCTAGACGCCATGCCGGACATTGCATTCTGCCCGCGCTGCTCCCAGCCGGCTGTAGAGGACCCTTCAGACCACCATGCGCTGTGCCCCGGGTGCTTCTTCTCCTTCTGCGGGGTGTGCCGCGAGGGCTTTCATAGAGGAAGAAGCTGCATCACTCCGGAACTCGCCCTCAAGCTGATGAAGGTGAGAGTGCAGCGCAGTGCAGTGCAGTTACTATGCGATTCGTGCGATCTTCTCAAAGACCACCACGCGCTGTGCCCCGGGTGCCTCTTCTCCTTCTGTGGGGTGTGTCGCAAGGGCTTTCACCGAGGCAGAAGTTTCATCACTCCGGAGCTTACACTCAACTTCATGAAGGTGAGAGCACAGGTGCATTAGGATGAAATTTAGGATTTAGGGTGCCAGGAGGAGTGAACTCTAGCAGTGACAGAGCTGAGCAAACAGAACGTTTTCAAACGCTTGCCCGCTGCCGCTTTCTCTTATGGTGCTTTTCTCTTGCGTGTTTCAGTTGCGGAAGCAGGAGCGGGCTTTGGCAGAGGAGGAGTTTAGGAAGCAGAAGGACCTGGAGCAACAAGTGCTTAGCCTCAAGTGAGTGATTCGCTTCAAGTGAGTTTTTGGTTTCAGGTCGACACGTTTGGCCCCGCAAGAGCAAGGTTGCAACAAGATGTTCTGCACAACCGTGATGCTGCAGATTGTTTTTAAGAATTCTCAAATACAATCTGCAGCATCAAGAGCAAGGTTGCAACAAGATGTTCTGCACAACCTTGCCACACACTCACTCAGCGACTCTCACCTGTACTCACACTCTCACCCACGCACGGCTTGTCTTCTCCCCGTTTTATTTGTTCAGGCTGGTGGAGGAGTCGAGTGTGCCGTGCCGGCCATCAGCAAGAGCGAGGGGTGTTCCTCAGACATGTTTGATTTTTTTATTATTATTATTATTATTTTTTCTTTCTTTCTCTCTTGCTTTTTCAGGTTGGTGCAGGAGTCGAGTGTGCAGTGCCCCGTGTGCAGCACGGCCATCAGCCGGAGCGAGGGGTGCAACAAGATGATCTGCCCCACCTGCAACGCCTTCTTCTGCTATCGATGCCGTGAGCGCATCGACGGTTACGACCACTTCACGTATGTTACCACTGTGTTACTGCTTGTTACCACTTGTTACCACGTCACATCATATTACCCCATCCCCATCGCCCCACCTGCAAGACCTTCTTCTGCTACCGCTGCCACAAGTGCATCGACGGTTACGACCACTTCACGTATGTTACCACTGCGTTACCACCAGTTCACGTATGTTAACCTTCTGTTATCACTATACGTATGTTATATATGACCACCTCACACAAATTACCAATTCTTTTATGTTGCCACTTCACATGTATTACCCCATACCGATTGGCCAGCATGCATACCCATCTCGACACACATCCGCATATGCATCACATCCTTATACTTTGTCCCACCAGCAATGGTAACACTGTGTTGTTTGAGGCAGCGGAGAGAGAGCAGCGGGGGATCCAAGTCACATACCCTCATGCTTTTTATTTTCATTCTTTTCTTCTTTCCAACCTTGCATTGCCAGGGAGGGAAAGTGTGTGCTGTTTGAGGCAGCGGAGATAGAGCAGTGGGAGATGCAGATGGCAGCCATGGCTGAAGCACCCACTCCCTGTTGCCCTATCTTCCTTGTCCATACCTTGTCCCACCAGCAACGGTAACTGTGTGTTGTTTGAGGCAGCGGAGATAGAGCAGTGCGAGATGCAGATGGCAGCCATGGCTGAAGCACCCACTCCCTGTTGCCCTATCTTCCTTGTCCATACCTTGTCCCACCAGCAACGGTAACTGTGTGTTGTTTGAGGCAGCGGAGATAGAGCAGCGGGGGATCCAAGTCACATACCCTCATGCTTTTTGTTTTCATTCTTTTCTTCTTTCCAACCTTGCATTGCCAGGGGGGGAAAGTGTGTGCTGTTTGAGGCAGCGGAGATAGAGCAGTGCGAGATGCAGATGGCAGCCATGGCTGAAGCACCCATTCCCTGTTGCCCTATCTTCCTTGTCCATACCTTGTCCCACCAGCAACGGTAACTGTGTGTTGTTTGAGGCAGCGGAGATAGAGCAGTGCGAGATGCAGATGGCAGCCATGGCTGAAGCACCCACTCCCTGTTGCCCTATCTTCCTTGTCCATACCTTGTCCCACCAGCAACGGTAACTGTGTGTTGTTTGAGGCAGCGGAGATAGAGCAGCGGGGGATCCAAGTCACATACCCTCATGCTTTTTGTTTTCATTCTTTTCTTCTTTCCAACCTTGCATTGCCAGGGAGGGAAAGCGTGTGCTGTTTGAGGCAGCGGAGATAGAGCAGTGCGAGATGCAGATGGCAGCCATGGCTGAAGCACCCATTCCCTGTTGCCCTATCTTCCTTGTCCATACCTTGTCCCACCAGCAACGGTAACTGTGTGTTGTTTGAGGCAGCGGAGATAGAGCAGTGGGAGATGCAGATGGCAGCCATGGGTGAAGCACCCACTCCCTGTTGCCCTATCTTCCTTGTCCATACCTTGTCCCACCAGCAACGGTAACTGTGTGTTGTTTGAGGCAGCGGAGATAGAGCAGTGGGAGATGCAGATGGCAGCCATGGCTGAAGCACCCACTCCCTGTTGCCCTATCTTCCTTGTCCATACCTTGTCCCACCAGCAACGGTAACTGTGTGTTGTTTGAGGCAGCGGAGATAGAGCAGTGGGAGATGCAGATGGCAGCCATGGCTGAAGCACGGCGCCGGCCCCAACGAGCCGCGCCGCCCATCGGAGCGCCGCCCGTCGGAGCGGATGGCAGGCCGCTGCTTGCGAGACGCTGCCCCAATTGCCGTCAAATCAATTACAAGGTTTGCATCAGCGCATGCAAGGGATGGTTCATGCTGCAAGCTAGTGCTTAGCTCAGTTCAGCTAAATACATGTTTTTGTGTTGTGGTGTGGTTTTGGTATCATATGATGCGAGTACTCCTTTGTGTTTCTTGCAACCTTTTTTTGTTTGCAGGAGGGGAGGAATAATGACATTCATTGCAGGATTTGTCGCACACGCTTTTGCGGCATGTGCAACCAAATCATGAGAAATGTGTATCATTTTCGACCCAATGGATGCCGCCAACACACTGATGACTAACCTACCGTGTTAGTCATAGGGATGGGCGCATGGGTTAGCATGGGGAGTGTTACGGGTTTAACACGCTGGAAAGCTGGTTTAGCATGTAAATTGTCTATGTGGTTCATTTCTAAATCATTTTTATTGTCTATTCTCAATTTCATATTCGGATAATGACATTCCTCATACCAGGTAGTGATGTTCTCTTTCAGTCGGAGCAGCTCGTATCGCAATTATGAGCGACCTTTTCTGACGGTCACTGAACGTCAACTGTGCTCTCTGAGCCGACAAACTAAGCTCCTGTGCGACACTCAGTGCAAATTGTGCGCGCGCCAACGGCCAGATTTGCGAAGCCCGCGCCCAGCCGACAGGGCTATAATTCGGCCATCCAATGCGGCTCGTGATTCGCGGGGTAAGTCTTGGCGGCGCGGTTCGCCAATTTGGTTGAGAATTTGAGTGAACATTTGGCGCCGAAGGGGAGGGGAGGGCAAACAAAAAACGTTCCAGGCAGAGAGACGGAAGGGAGGTGGCTAGTTGGAGGAGGGGAAACGCTGGGGAACGGATGCTTGTGTGAGGAGAATGCCTCAATTCAGCTGCTCAGCACAGCTTCGCTCCTGCTAAAGAAGTCTCTCGATGAGCTAGTCCTGGACTTGCGCTCTTGCAGTGGACTCTCAAATTCAAAATAATCCCGCCTTGGAACTCGTCCTCGCCGTCTGTGAAAGTCGCCTACCTTGTTGAACCGTTTCGCGCGTACCGCGTTGCCCCTCCCACGCCGTCCCTCAACATCCGACTGTTCGGGCCAACTCCATCAACTCCCTGCACCTTTCAAATAAAAGCCTTACTCCGACCGACATTGCGTCTGTTTTCGACCCAAGCCCGCTCACCACCACCGTCCAAGGGGAGATTTGAACTTTCTCGTTCAAAACTCCTCCCACTCCTATCATAACACGTCGTGCGTTGCCTGTCGCCTCCACCCAAGTCAGCACCCAGCTGACTCTGCTCCTCCGTAGCTTACCTATACAAGCTCCCATAGTAACCCTTTCATGCAGCGTTCCTCGCGCTGCGTTTGTTCTCCCAAGGTCCATTAAGGAGCTACCTGTTGGCAGAAGTACAGTTAATATAGACCGCGTCTCCTGCTCGGGAATTCCCTTCGTCGCATTTGAGAATGCTCTAGAGCGAATTGTTTCACTGCCAGCAATGTCGATTTCAAGCCTCGCGAGCAGATCGCGCTCGCACTCGCGGCTACACCGCCAGCAATCCCAAATTCTTCTAGCAATGCCTCGCGAGCACATCACACTCTCCTCGCGGCTCCCTCTCCTAGCCCCTCTAATAGTCTCTCTCCTCCTCCTCACCATCTCTTCCCAAGCCACTGTCGCAGCCGCCTTCCCCTACGCCTCCGCCCACGCGCGGTGGTTGCAGGACGTCTCCGCTCCTCCCCCTCCCCCCATCGTCTCTCCTCCCACTCCCCTTGCGACGGTTTCTCCCCCTCCGCCTGTCGCTGCGGGTTCCGCTTCTCCTCCACCGCCCGACTCCTCCTCCCCTCCGCCTCCTACCACCTCCCCTCCGCCTCCTACCCCCTCCACTTCCCCGCCCACTACCTCCCCCTCACCTCCCCTCTCCCCTCCTCCTTCACCTCCTTTGTCCCCCCCTCCCTCACCGCCGCTGTCTCCACCTCCCACTCCCCCCTCTCCTCCGCCCTCCCCTCCCCCGACGCCTCCCCCTCCCCCTTCCCCGCCTCCGCCGCCTCCCCCTCTGGGTACTTGCCCGCTACCGTTCACAGTCGGCGCGCGCTGCACCAACTGCACCACGCCCGGCGGCTGTATCTGCGACTCGTTCGGCGTGTGCCGGCCGACCTGCAGCTACGTGCCTGGCGTCGACTACAAATCCCCCACCTGGCGGCGCGCGTGCAACACGTGCCCGAGCAAGCGCCTCGGCGTGCCGAACGCGCAGTGCGCGTGCGACATCAACGGCAGCCAGCAGTGCGTGGATTTCTGCGCGCTCCCAGAGAACAACAACGGCGTGACGCCGTGCGTGGGGTGCAAGAACGCGACGGGCAACGGGTGCGTGTGCGGGCGTGGCCAGTGCGTCGACGCGTGCAGCACCGCCAACCCCATGTCGGCGCTCGTCCGCGGAGCGCCCTGCACCGTCGGATGCTCGTAAGTCGAACTGAGCCTGCGCCGTCTCCTCAATTTCTCGTCAATTTGCGGCGGATTTTCCGCTTACGTTTGGGATTTTCAGCTTACTCAAGGTCGAGCTTTTCTCGCTTTTGTCTCGCTGTCTCGCTGGCTGTCGGGCGGGGGCAGGCCCAAGGCGGGGAAGGACGGGTGCGTGTGTTCGCCGTCCAAGGGCAAGTGCGTTCCGTTCTGCAACGAGAAGGACGGCTTTAAGTGCTCCAACTCCGACTCCGGCGAGGGCTACTGCCGCGCGGGGCTCTGCTACGACATCTGCGCCATCGCCAGTGAGTGCACGTCCACGTTAGATTCATGGTCATTCAAAGTGACAATACACGTGCTGATTCTAACAATTTCTGTGCCACTAAAATACACGAGAGGGGAACGAATTCCTGCAGTCACTTCCTCAAAGTGAAGGCATCTTTGCGAAAACCCATCGCCATTCTTCGTGCTTCCTTTTCGTCCCTTTCGCGACAGAGCCCGGCACTGTTTGCCGCACGTGCAACACGACGAAAGGCGGCTCGTGCGTCTGCGGATCGTCGGGCAAGTGCGAGCCCGACCTCTCGTGCACGGGACCTTCTCCCGTCCCGCTCGACATATCGAACGGGTACCCTTGCACCTCGTGCCCTAACGCGTATTATTACCCCGTTAACAACATCAACGTGGTGACTGCGCCGGGGTGTAGATGTGGTGGTAAAGGGAAGTGCGTGGAGCCTTGTAACGGGGGTTTGGCGGAAGGAGCGGTTTGTAGCGGTGGAGCGGCGTGCACGGATAACACGAATGGTTGCAGGTGTACCCAAGGGCGGTGTAGGCCGTTTTGCGAGTTGCCTTCAAACGAGGGAGCTCCTTGCGGGGATATGTTTTCGCAGCAGGGGACGTGCGTCGGCGGGAAGTGCGTGCCGCGGTGTGGAGTGGCAGGAAGCGACGGGCTGCAATGCAGCTACAACTGCACGAGGTAAGCGAGACGACTGATGGGTGCGTGGAGGGGGAGCGAGCGGATGAGGGAGATAGGGGTGGAAAAAAGGGAGTGGGAGTGAGGGGTGGAAGGGGGGGAGGGGGGAGCTGGGAGCACAGGAATGGATGAGAGGTCTTCAATTCTAGAGTCTCCTGGCCCGGGCAATCTCGCGCCATTTGATGCAGCCTTTTCGTTTCATTCTGCTCTTTCACACTTGTCCAAACATCCACTTCATCTTGTCTTTGAATTCCCTCCCCTTCGTGTATGTGATTGCAGCCAAGTGTGCCTATGCTCTGCCGGTCAGTGCACACCGCAGTGCCAACTACCCAATGCAGAGGGAGGAGAATGCTTCGACGGGTGCGACAGCGGAGGGCCGTGCAGGTGCTACCGAGGGGAGTGTGTCAATAAATGCCAAGTGCCAGCTAATGAGGGGACCAGATGTGTCGATTGCGCCCGTAACCCATACTGCAAATGCAGAAGTGGGGCCTGCGTCAATGAGAGGTGAGGGTGGGCCTGGTTTGAAGAGATGGATGACTAGTTTGACCTAGGCCATAAACCTCGGAAAATAAAACGATGCTGATTAGCTATTCTTCTTTGTGCTGCATATATTTAACAGACCTGATGCAATAACACTTTTTGCCTAGTCTCCAAAGTTCTGACTGATAGGGCCCGCACGCAGAGCATGCCATACACATTGGCCTTGCTGTGCATCGCTTATTTGCCTCATAGCAGTGGTCTCTTTCCACAGACGCCAACTCAAGATGATAATCGCAAGCAACACAGAGTAGCACCCATCAACTCAAAAGTACTGGTCAACACATGATCTCAGGGTACTTCTACGAATTTCACCAGTCAATGTCTTCACAACTTCCCTGTTGTGTATGACCAACACAGCTGGCGTCTCCACCACGCCGTGCATCGCGGCCACGTTGGGAAAATCGAGGACGTTGATCTTGTGAAATGAGACGTCCCTTGGTTCGTAGACCCCCGCGACCTCATTCAAAACGTCGGTACAAAAAGTGGAATCGCTGAGATTATTCTTCAGCAGGGCGATCACGAGTAGACGCGGCTCGCCAGCGCGAACGAGATCCCAGAGTTGCTCTTCTGTCAGATCGCCCACACGAGCAGATTCCGAGGATTCCATCAGAATCAGCTAACAGGAGGTGAATGACTTCGTGCAGTAGGTTAGATTAGAACTCGAGAAATCTTGCAAGAGACTTTTGATGCGAAAGGCTTTGGACTGAGGTCTAGAAAAACGGTTCATCAAGGAAGGGCCTTACTAGACAACCTCCCTGTTGGACCCTTCTAGAAACCAAGGACGGCTCACGAGTCACGACGATGAGTCACGAACTTCCGTTGTCAAACGAGTATTCACATCACACCTGAAGTTTCATAACGATCCTCACGACTAGGAAACTGGAAACGGGGGCGGCTGCCCACGGATTGCGTCAGGAAGATGGCCAACACGTTCAGGACGGGTTCCATAACCGAGGGAAATCAAAGGCGTTCCAATAGTAAATCAATATCATTTCTCAGAACAGCTAAACGTCATATAAACTAGCATTTTATCGAGTTATTACAAAATGTCATGTCCGTATATTAGAGCAAAACGTTGTTTATATATTGCCAATGAGAAACATAAAACCAATCCTAATGCATTACTCTCGAAGTTTCTAACCAGGAAGTTTCTATCTCGAATTTTTCTGAGAATCATCCATTCACTATTATTAATGCTGTTGTAAAAAGATTATTCCAACAATAACATATCAACAATATTGCATTATTCCTGGCCATAGATGAGTATTTGGTTACAGTCTCTACTGGTGATCAGTGTTTTGCAAACAGAAGTAAAACACTGACATTATCAGAAATAAACCATGAGTGTCAGGAAAAACCTCGGCGCCAGCCCCGCCCGCGACGAGCCTGACACTTCAAAAATCCCGCGCAATTCCCTATGGTCTGTCCCTCGAGGCTGGCTGGAGCTTGTGTTTAGATGAGACGCACCTCCAGAACAGCAAATCTCGGATGTTTCTGTCCCCGTGTCCCCGTGTCGGCACTTGTTGTGAATCTTCTTACTAGGCTATTCTTACTAAGGCTTTTGTGTTTTTCCTCGAACGTAGCACGATCTAGTGATTGGTTGGCTGTATCCCACGCCAACCTAGACTCGAACTAAATGCAATTAGTCAAGTTTGGATGGCCTAAAACTCCATCAGCCATACTCCAAGTTTAGCTTAGTATACGCATAGCTTATCAGGCGTCTTAGAACAATCATCTTCGAGGCAGCATGTCGTGGATATTCAATCGAGGCGGGACTGGCAACTCTCAGTCGCCAGTCACATCTCCTGCTACAGCCGCACGATCCCCCACAACAGGGCTAAGATCACCGATGCCGTCAATACCTAGGCAATCGAATCCATCAACACCTTCTCAACCCACTCCTGCTACCCTATCCCCGTTACCTCAATCTCGAGGGTCCGGATCCCCGGTTGCCACGTCGATCCCCGATCCGCTGACGTCACGCGCGATTCGGCTGGTGTACAAGGATGAGCAGGGCGTGTTTCGAATGGATCCCGAAGCCGTCAGCGCGCTGCGGCGACTGCGAGGGCCCCTCGGGGTTGTCGCAGTGTGCGGAAGGGCGAGGCAGGGAAAGAGCTTCATACTGAATCAGGTATAAATAAGGGGGTCGTGACTGTTGACTGGACGTACGAGGGATGTCTCGATTGACCTTTCGTACGGACGTGAGTGCGCGAATCCCCAGCTGCTGCGCTGCGTCCTTTCTGAGATTCTTCAAAATGACGTGCATATGAGTGCTCGAATCCCTGGCGCCATCTCTCAGGTGTTGGGTCGCAGCAACAGGTTCCCAGTGAAATCTCTCTACCCGATTATTGCGTTCCTTCTCATGTCCCCTCTTTCCCTTCCTAATTTCCTCTTCTGCAGCTGCTGGGTCGCAGCAGCGGGTTCACCGTGGGCCCGACGCACCGGCCGTGCACCAAGGGGCTGTGGATTTGGAGCTCGCCAGTCAAAGTCACGGCGCCGGACGGATCGTCATACCACCTGCTGCTGCTGGACTCGGAGGGCATCGATGCATACGATCAGACGGTGAGAGCTTCTTGATTGCCAGGGTTGAATCTAAGCTGATAGCGGCTGATGGATCCTCCTACCACCTGCTTCTGCTGGACTCAGAGGGCATCGACGCCTACGGTCAGACTGTGAGACGGTTAGTTGGCCAGGGGTGGGTGGAGGGGGATGAAGCAGCAGCCGTGCGCCAAGGGTTTGTGGATTTGGACGCGGACGCATGACTCCTCCCCTGCACCCCACAACCTTCCTCCCCACCACGCGCTTCCTGGTTTGTGCTGCATGCGCAGGGCACATACAGCATGCTTCTCTTCTCGCTGGCGGTGCTGCTGTCATCACTCTTCGTGTACAACCAGATGGGCGGCATTGATGAGTCGTCTCAATACTTCCTTCCACCCCATGCCTCTTCTCTTTCGCCCCCAGTCCACAGGGCACGTACAGCACGCAGATCTTCCTGCTGGCAGTGCTGCCTTCACAATCTATGCACTCCGTCTCAAACGCCCTCTCCACGCTTCCCTTCTGTCTCTTGTACACCCGTGTTCTCAGGGCACGTACAGCACGCAGATTTTCTGCTGGCGGTGCTGCTGTCATCACTTTTCGTGTACAATCAGATGGGCGGCATCGACGAGTCGCCTCAAAAGATCCTCTCTCCCCATGCCTCCTCTCTTGTGGCCCCTGCCCACAGGGCACGTACAGCACGCAGATCGTCTTGCTGGCGATGTTCCCAGTGCCTTCATCTGACTCAAATCTTCTCATTACCTTTCATCTCTCATGTGCCACATGTGCAGGGCACGTACAGCACGCAGATATTCTCGCTGGCAGTGCTGCTGTCGTCGCTGTTCGTGTACAACCAGATGGGCGGCATCGATGAGTCATCGCTGGACCGCCTCTCCATGGTCACCGAGATGGCCAAGCACATCCAAGTGCGCGCCAACTCTGCTTCAGCAGCAGGAGGAACAGCAGGAGGAGGAGGAGCAGCAGCAGCTGGGTCGGCCTCTGCCACGCAGGAGCTGGGGCTCTTCTCGCCCGTGTTCTTCTGGTTGCTGAGGGTGAGTTTCTGCGGCCAGGGTGAGGTGTGAGGCATATCACAGCAGGAGTGGTCGAGTGCTTGCTGAACCGCCTCTCCATGGTCGCTGGACTTCTCTCTTCATGTGCTATTCTCGTGCTCTTCATGTGGTCTTCTCGTCACCGCGCTTCTCGCCCCTGCTCTTCCCTCCTCAAGCTCTTCTCGCCTCTGCTCTTCTGGCTTCTGAGGATAAGCCTCGAGACGATTTAACAGGGACAGGAGCCGGAGCTCTTCATTTGAACTATTCTTTGGGTCTGTCCACTCATTCGCACTTGCCTTATACACTGCCTCTCCTCTTTCCCCCCTGCTTCATTTCGTACTCACCCCTCGTCTCTCTCTCTTTTTTTTTTTTTTTTTTTTTTTTTTCCACCTCTTTGCAGGACTTTTACTTTGACCTCACGGAGGACGGCCGGGTGATCACCCCGCGAGATTATCTGGAGACGGCACTGCAGTCCATGGCGGAGAGCTCTGAGTCTGCACGCGCTAAGAACCAGGTGGGGTGCAGTGGGGTTTGGTGGGGCGTGGTGGGGTGCCTCAAGTGGTACGTGGGGCGTGGGCTGGGCATGCATCTGGAGACGGCGCTTCAGTCCATGGCGAAGGGCTCTGAGTCCACACGCGCCAAGATCCAGGTGGGGGGTGGTGGAGAGTGGTCAGGGGTGGTGAGGCGTGGTGTGTTGTGGTCGGGCGTGGTGTGGTGTGCATAAGTGTGCCTGGGGAATGGGCTTTGTATGCACCTGGAGACGGCACTACAGTCCATGGCAGAGGGCTCTGAATCCGCACGAGCCCGTGGTGCAGCGTGATGCAGCCTGGTGGAGTGTGGTGGGGCGTGGTGGGAGTGTGGGCTGCCCATAGTGGTGCGTAGGGCGTGGGGCTTGGATTGTGAATGCACCTGGAAACGACGCTGTGGGCCATGGCAGAAGGCTCTGAGTCCGCACGCGCCAAGAACCAGGTGAGGAACTAGGTCAGGTGTGGAGCGTAGTGGGGTGTGGGTTGTGGTGAGGTTGCTCAGTTATTGCTCCGCTTTTGCTCTTCCCCCTGCCCCCTAAACCTGTGCACGCTGCAAGGCGCCAGGCTAGTTGTTCAACTCAACTCCCAACTCCCATACCTATCCCAACTCCCAACCCAATCCCAACTCCCATCTCAACCCATCCTCCGCTCCTTATTACCTGTGCAGATCCGAGAGTCCATCCGCTCGCTCTTCCCTGACCGCGATTGCTTTGCCCTTGTACGCCCCATCAGCAACGAGCGCCTGTTGCAGAAGCTCGACCACCTGCCCGTGAGTGCTCTCTTGGAGTGATTGATCCCATATGCTCTCCATTCCCTGCGTTTGGTCTCTTCCGCCCATCAGTAAGGAAATTTCCTCGCCTCTCTTCGTTTTCCTCCCTTCATCACACCCTCCTTTCTCGTCCATATGAACAAGCTACTCCTGGAGTCCAAGCAGGCGGTGATGTCGATATCACTTTTTGAGGTTTCAAATTTGAGAAATCTCAGATAAGTGTAATGCGTGCTGTGTCTCTTCACTGTCTCCACTCAATTCTCCCCGTTCTTCCCTTCATCCCCTCTTCCCTTCTCCCCTCCGCCCCTTCGTCCCTCATCACTCTTCCAGATGGACCAGCTGCGACCTGAGTTCAAGCAGGGGCTAGACGCCTTTACCCAGGCGGTGTTTGCACGCGCTCGCCCCAAGAGGGTAGGCGGCACAGTCATGACGGGGCCGATGCTGGCAGGGCTCACTCAGACGTATATTCAGGCACTCAATAACGGGGCTGTGCCCACCATACTCAACTCCTGGCTGGTGAGTGAATGTCTGAGTCCCTTTCCATGTATGAGTCTGTTCTTCATTAGAAACACGGGCAGCTAAATAGCGATCCATGTATGTTTATGTGCACTATCTCCTCCTATTGGTCTGTCCGTTTCTTCTGCGTCTGTTTCCTCTTTGTCTCCTTTTCGAACGGTCCTTATCGTTGGATATAATCAACGTTGCACCTCTGCCTTCTCTCTCCTCTCTCTCTCTCTCTCTCTCTCTCTCTCTCTCTCTCTCTCTCTCTCTCTCTCTCTCTCTCTCTCTCTCTCTCTCTCTCTCTCTCGCTTACCGTCCTCTCTCCACCCCCCTCTTTCCATGCGACTATTGTTTCCCCCAGAGTGTGGAGGAGACGGAGTGTCGCAGGGCGTTTGAGGCGGCACTGGAGGCATACAGCAGGGCATTCGGCAACCCCGCTTCTGCCGATGAGGTGGGCCTTGTGTGCTGGATCGGCACATTGGAACATTGTGGATTGGCATGCCACATTGAGCCATAATGAAGCTTCTTTGGTTTGGCCCGTTTATGCTGTCCCGTAACTCCCTTGTCCTTGTCACTCTCCTCGCTTCCTCTGCCTCTCACCCCTCACCTCTTCCCCGCACTCCATTTGTAGGAGGACCTACGAGCCCACCACAGGGCAGCGCTGCAGGCAGCAGAGGCAGCGTTCCGAGAGGAGGCGGTGGGGGAGGGGCAGGCACGGCACAAGTACGAGGAGAAGCTGCGGGAGGAGGCTGGGAAGAGGTTCGAGGTGAGGCACGGTGCGGTGGGGTGGGGTGGGGTGGGGTGGGGTGGGGAGGGATGGGATGGGATGGGATGGAGTGGGAAGGTTTGGGGGTCACGAGCTTCTGGCGGGGAAGTGTCTACACATTTGAGACCAAGTAACTGCTGTAGGGAGTGTCTATGCATATGGGCTTGCGAGGGGCTTTCCCAAGCCATCTCAGTGCTGACACTCCTCTCCACTTTTGAGAATTCTCAAAATTGTTTCCCAAGCCATTCCAGTGCTGACACTCCTCTCCACCAGATGATCTGACTCATCTCTTCCACCTCTGTGCTCCCCCGCTGGATTTTTTCTGTCCCTTGTGTGCCTCGTTCGGCGTTACCGCGCATGTGGTGTGTGTGTGTGTGCGTGTGCATGTGCGTGTGCGTGTGCGTGTGTGCGTGGATGTGCGTGTGCATGTGCATGTGCGTGTGTGTGTGCATGTGCGTGTGTGTGTGCATGTGCGTGTGTGTGTGCATGTGCGTGTGTGTGTGCATGTGCGTGTGTGATCTGAGCAGGACGTGTTGAAGCGAGTGGCAGCAGAGGCAGAAATGAGGTGCAAGCGGTATCTCGATGCACTAGAGGCCAAGGTCAAGGGGCTCGCCAGGGGGCCTCCCCGGGCGGCGACTGCTGACGTGGTGCGCGCGCTGATTGCTGAGCTGGCGGCGTACGAGTCGTCCATGTCTGGCGTTGCCAAGTGGCGCTGCTTGTCAGCGTTCCTCGTCGCCAGGTCAGCCTGGGATGGGTGGTGAGGGGTGTGCAGGGATGGGTGGTGAGGGGTGTGCAGGGATGGGTGGTGCTGTTGCAAGGGTGTGAGTCGGTTGCCAGGGAATCTCTTCCCCTCTCTGCATATGCAGCCTCGTGTTGGACTCAGCAGAGGAGGTCGCTGAAGCCAAGCAACAAGCCTTCTGAGGCGGCTCAGAACAGTGTGCCTCCTCCCTTCTCTGCTGCCCACTCCTCCACTCCTCTCCTTGCAGCATGCGCGGCCTTGTGTTGAGCTCTTCTGAGAAGGAAGTTGCAGAAGGAGGTCGCCGAAGCAATGAAACGGGCTAAAATTGTCCCTCCTCCCCTCTCCGCTGCCCACTCCACTTTACGCTGCCCTCTTCCCCCTCCCATCCCCAAACAGCATGCGTGGCCTTATGCTGGACTCAGCTGAGAAGGAGGTCGCCGAAGCGAAGCAACAAGCCTTCTGAGACGTCTCAGTAGTGTGTGCTCCCTCCCCTCTCCGCTGCCCACTTCCCCTCCCTCTTTTCTCCGTTTCAGCATGCGCGGCCTTGTGTTGGACTCAGCTGAGAAGGAGGTCGCCGAAGCAAGGCAGCAAGCCGTTTGTGACGTCTCCAACTGTGTGCCCGTCTCTTCTCTTGCCCCCTCCGCTCCCCTCACAGTATGCGCGGGCTTGTGCTGGACTCAGCTGAGAAGGAGGTTGCTGAAGCAAGGCAGCAAGCCTTTTGAGGCGCTCCCGGACTGTGTATCCACTCCTGTCTCCGCTTTCCACTTTCCTCCCCCTTAACTCCATCGCAGCATGCGAGGGCTTGTTTTGGATTCGGCTGAGAAGGAGGTCGCCGAAGCAAGGCAGCAAGCTGCGTCCGCACTCAAGGACAAGCAGGCCGCTGAGGCCCGGGCGTCTGCCGAAGCTGCGGCCGCGGCTCGGGAGGCTGCCGCAGCAGAGGACTGGAAGAAACGGGTGGCGGCGGTGGAAGGACAGCTGGCAGACGCTAATAGGCTGATTGGCGAAGGGAGGGAGGAGAAGGAGAGGATGAGGAAGGAGGTGGAAGAGGGGAGGAGGAGGGCGGAGGAGCGAGAGAGGGAGTGTGTGGAGTTGAGAAAGGAGGTGGAGAGAGGGAGGGAGGGAGGGGAGAAGGAGGTGAGGAGGGTGAGTGGGGAGGTTGAGAGGGTGAAAGGGGAGCTTGAGGAGGCAAAGAGGAGGGTGGGGGAGGAGCAAGGAGAGAAGGTGAAGTGGAGGGGAATGTATGAGAAGGAGGTGGGGGAGGGGAAGAGGGAGGTGGAAAAGGTGGTTGGCGAGAGGGAGGGGCTGAGAGGGGAGGTGGAGAGGGAGAGGCAGAGGAGGCAGGCTGAAGTGGCTGCGATTCAGAAGGCGAAGGTGTGTTGCTGGGATGGGTTGGGGTGGGATGGGTTGGGGTGGGGTTGGGTGGGGTGGGGTGGGGTGGGTTGCGGAGGGGTGGGATGGGGTGGTATGGGATGAGGTGGGGTGGGGTGGGATGAGAATGGGCGTTTGGTGATTTCAGTTCAGCTGGGTATGCTCATTGTCTGCTATCCCATCATGAACCCCGTACCCCTTCCCCCACTCCCCCTCCTTCTTGTCCCTGGCTCTGCATCAACGATTTGAACACCTTCTTTGCTACGCCTCACCGCATCATGACTTCTGAGCCTTCGCTTAAGCTGCCCCACTGCACTGGTTTGAACACCTCCTTTTGTTATGCTGCAACGCATTTATCCTGCTGGCAGGTCGAGTTGGAGAAGCAGTTGCGAGCAGAGGCGTCCAAAGCAGCAGCAGAGGCAAACGAGCTGAAAGTGAAGCTGGAGGTGAGACGGTATTAGTAATTGAAGGGAAGGGGTTGATTGTGGTACGGGGGGGTGTAGTAGTGCTGGCAGAGTGCGTTGGAGAAGCAGTTGCGAGCAGAGGCGTCTAAGGAGCGGCCGAGGCAAGCGAGCTGGAGGTGAGACGGTGTGCGTGAAAGGGGGGGGGGGTAACCGAGTGGGGTTGATTGAGAGGGGTGGAGAAGGGGGTGACGGAGACAGTAGTGAGTTGAAGGTGAAGCTGAGGGTGAGTCGAGATCAGGGGGGGTTGGTTGGGCGCGGGAAAGGGGGTGCTGGGGAGGGAGAGTGAGCTGGTAGTTAGTTATGCTGGAGGGTGAGGTGGTGTGAAGGTTGACGTTTGCCACATTGAGGAATTCGTGAGAATTCTCAGCCCACCAGACAAGAGAGGCGTATGCAGAGAGGTGGTGTATGCGTATCCTTCCCCTCCTCCGCCCAGTGACTTCCGCACCCACTCCTCCTTCCTCTTTCCCCCTTCTTTCCCCTTCGTTCCCCCTCTTTCCCCCTCATGCCCCCTCATTCCCCCTCTTTCCGCGTGCAGTCGCAGGCAGCACGGCTGGCAGCAACAGAGAAGGCACTGATGGAAGCAAAGGCGAGGGAGAGGCAGGCTGAGGAGAGCATGAGAGAAGCGAACAGGACGGCTGGCAGCGCGAGCAAGAGCGTGCAGGTACGGTTCTGTTTAGGAGTCACATGCCTTATGGTTTGGGAGTGTTTGCCCTTACGGTGAGATGAGTTGGCAGAGGCAGGCTGAGGAGAGCACGGGAGGCGAGCAGGACGGCTGGCAGTGCGAGCAAGAGCGTGCAGGTATGGCCTCGTTTGGGATTCACATGAGCTTCACATGCCAGGTGTGTTTTGAGTCAACTCAAAAGTTTCACATGAGCTTCACGTGCCAGGTGTGTTTTGAGTCAACTCAAAAGTTTCACATGAGCTTCACGTGCCAGGTGTGTTTTGAGTCAACTCAAAAGTTTCACATGAGCTTCACGTGCTAGGTGTGTTTTGAGTCAACTCAAAAGTTTCACATGAGCTTCACGTGCCAGGTGTGTTTTGAGTCAACTCAAAAGTTTCACATGAGCTTCACGTGCCAGGTGTGTTTTGAGTCAACTCAAAAGTTTCACATGAGCTTCATGTGCCAGGTTGTTTTTCCATGATTCCGAAAGATGTGGCCTTCTTATTTTACGTGGTATACCTGATGTGGATTGAACTATATGTATGTTCATCCCTGTCTAACCTAATTTCGCTCTCTTTTTCAACCAGGCTGCACGGGAGGCCAAGGCTGCAGCAGAAGAAGCGACAGAGAAGATGGAGCGTCAGCTGCGTCAGGCTGAGTCAGCACGCACCGCTGCTGAGCTGGCAGCTCGGCGCGAGGCTGAGCTGGCGCGCCAGGCTGGCATTCGTGCTGACTCAGCAGCGAAAGATCTCCAGATGGCAATGGAGGAGGCCCAGGTGGCACAGTCAGCAGCTGACGTGGCAGTAAAGAGGGCAGAAGCTGCGGAAAGGAGAGCGAGAGAGGTTGAGAGGGATTTAGAGGAGTTGAGGTTGAGGACAGCGGAAGGAGAGGAGGAGGGGAAGGGGAAGGTGGAAGGTATGGTTAGGGAGATTGAGGAGTTGAAGGGAGAGGTGGGGAGGAGGAAGGAGGAGGTTGGGGAAACGATGGCGATGCTGGCAGTGTGTGAGGTGGAGAGGGAGGGATGGAAGAGAAAGGAGGGAGAAGCTAGGAGTGAGATGGAGCGGCTGAAAGGGGAGTTGGAGCGGTTGAGAACGGTGGTGGAGGGTATGGGGGTGGAGATGGGGGTGGTGAGGAGCGAGAGGGAGGAGATGAAAGGGGCGGTGAGAGTGAGAGAGGAGGAGATAATGCGGTTAAGAGGGATGCTGGAAGTGGCTATGAGGGGGAATCAGGAGAGGGAGAGGGAGAGGGAGAGAGGGAGAGGGGAGGGGAAGGGGGGTGATGGGCAGGGAGAGGGAGCGGAGGAGATGGAGGTAGAGGGAGAGGAGGCGGGGAGGAAGAGGAAGAGGGCAAGACTGGGGACGGCTGTTTCTGGGGAAGGTGGTATTGCAGGAGAGGGCACTTCGGGTGGGGAGGGAGGTGCGGATGAGGCAGGGTTAACTGGTGCTGGTGATACTGCTGGGGGTGGTGCAGGGGCGGGGATGGAAGGGGCGGGTGACAGTGCTGTGACAGGTGATGCTGCAGGGACTGCGGGCAAGCGGAGAGGCAGAGGTGCAAGTAAACGAGCACCTGCCACTGCTGCTGGTGCGTCTGGGGCGGCAGGACTAACAGCCCCTGCAGCAGAGGGGGAAGCAGGAGCAGCAGGAACAGCAGGAGCAGGAGGAGCAGGAGGAGCAGCAGGAGGAGGAGTGCCAACACCCACAGCGTCAGGCAATACGGGGTTTGAGTCAGCCCAGGCAACCGGGCAGGGCAGTGAAATGGAGATGGACTCAGCCTCGTTCGGAGGGGTGTTTGGTGCTGGCGAGGGGAAAGGACCTACTGAAGGGGATGAGGCTGAGAGTAGCAAGGGGGGCAGGGGTAGAGGGAGGGGCAGGAGAGGTGGCGGAGGGAGGAGGGGGAGAGGGAGGCCGGCGGCGGGGGTTGGGGCGGTGACGGCTGCTGACGTGGTGGGGGAGTCTGACGTGGCGAAGAGGCGGAGGGAGATTGCGATGAAGATGACGAAGAGTGAGCTGAAAGACAGGTTGACGGATGAGGGGAGGGGGCTTGATGTGCTTGATCTGAGGACGCCGACGAAAGGGCAGCTGGTCGATCTTTTTGTAAAGTTTGTTCAAGAGTGAGTGAGTGAGTGAGTGAGTTTGAATATGAGGAGGAGGTGCTGAGACGATGACCAAGAGTGAGTTGAAGGACCGGTTGACGGATGAGGAGAGGGGGCTTGATGTGCTTGATTGGAGGACGCCGACTGGAGGACAGCTGGTAGACCTGTTTGTGAAGTTCGTTCAAGAGTGAGTGAGTGAGTGAGTGTGAGGATTCGTTTGAGGAGGTATTCGAGGAGGCGTTCTGAAGGTGACGGAGAGAGAGTTGGAGGAAAGGTTGACGGACGAGGGGAGGGGGCTGGATGTGTTGGATTTGAGGACTCCCACGAAGGGGCAGCTGGTAGACCTGTTTGTGAAGTTTGTTCTAGAGGAGTGTGAGGAGGAGATGGTAGTGATAAGAGGAGTGAGGAGCTGTGGTGAATATAGATTCGGTAAGTCTGCAAAGGTGATTATGGTAGAATGAATACGGTATGAGATGAGAAGACCTTGCTGGGATTAGTAGATAGAATGAGTACGATATGAGAAGACCTTGCTGGGATTAAGAGATGCCGCTTGAATTGGGTCCTAGCAGTGGGTAGGAGTGAGGTTGATTGGATAGGGGTGATGTGATAACATGTCTGAAGTATGGTGAAGAGGTTATGGGTGACGTGGACATGTTTTGCTTACTGGACGTGCAAACCATCAAGTAGTTTATCGCTGACTATGGTTGTAAGTAGTTTGCATGTTTTTGCATGTTTTTGTTTTTCAGGGAAGTTGCATATCGAAATATGAGATCAACTAATATAGTACAGCAGCATACTAGAAAGGAACGAGAGCTAGAGAATTGCAGCAGTAGTGCTTTCACAGGACAACGACGTTGAAAACAACAACCCACTCAGAGCAGAACCATCTGGTGCCCTCTCCACGTTCTAGCCAAACCAGCCATGTTTCTTGTGGCCTCCCTCCGCCTCCCTCTGCCTCTCCTTGATATCCCTTTCGTCCTCCTTCCCCTCGTGGCGTTCGTGACCTGCGTATGCTGCAGCACCAGCAGCAATCGCTTCGCCGATGCGCTCTCCGCGCTTGTGCCCCTCGTACTCCTTGCGCATCTTCTGTTGTTCCTCAGAGCGTACCGAGAAACGAAAACGTGTCAGAGGATAGGGAATCAAGCGAGAACGGAAGCTGGATTGACTGTAAAAACACAATCTGTTTATGTAAACTGCCCTAGAAAGAAAAGAAGAAGAAAAATTAGAAGAGGAAAAAAAAGCATTACCTCTTCCTCGGTCTCTCGTTCTTCACCATATCCACGACCTCCAGGACGCTCCTCGTGTCCCCCGTATCCGCGCTCCCCGTGTTCGCGCTCCCCGTATCCGCGCTCCCCGTATCCGCGCTCCCCGTATCCGCGCTCCCCATGACGTTCTCCGTACCCAGTTGTGCCTCCACCAGTGGAGCCACCATATCCAGTTGTACCTCCCCCAGTCGTGCCGCCATATCCAGTTGTACCTCCCCCAGTCGTGCCGCCATATCCAGTTGTACCTTCCCCAGTCGTCTCTCCGTATCCCGTCGTTCCACCATAGCCAGTCGTCTCTTCGCGAGTGCCATGATGATGACGTCCGCCTAAACCGCCGCCTTCAGCACCGGAGAACGTTCCATAGCCAGTTTCACCACCAGTCGAGCCCGTGCCGCCATACTCCGTGCCTCTCTCGCGACCCGTCACACCGGAGTATCCCGAGCGTTCGGTAGAACCGCCGCCGTATCCGGGCGTCTCCCTCTCGTACTCGTGCCCGTGGCGACGCTGCTGTCCGTGGCCACCGTATTCTGGCTCCCCTGGAGCTGTTCCGCGAGATCCGTATCCGTACTCGCCCTCGCGAGGCTCCTCCCGCTTCTTCTCTCCGCCAAAGATTTCCTTGACCTTTTCCATGATGGCGTGATGCGGAAGCAGGATCTTTCCGCTTCTTGCGGCTGAGAATTTTGTGATAACGCTTCTGAAATGACGCAAAATTCAGGGCACGGGTGTGTGATATTTGTGGTGGTGTGGTGGGTTTTTCTGCTGTTGGTGAAATCGTGATGCAAATTGGAATTCGTGTTATGAGCGACTCGATCGAACATTCGAAGCGACTCGATCCGAAGCGCGACATTGGCGTTACCAGCACCACCTCAACCAAAACCAGCCCAGCAGCATCTTGCTGACGTGAGGGGAGTCCCACCAGCTCGTCCCAGTCCTCCAAGTGGACCAATCTTGCCGTTGACACGTCAGGACGACACATTCCCAGTTACATGCAGTAGCTACACTTTTGTGTAACTGCTGGATTCACGGTTCATTTCGACTGAAGTACGGTAGGCATGGGATATGAGGTGAGGACTGTGATACTTCAAAGACGATGGAATGGCATGGTTTATGCTAACAGAACTAGAAACAGATATCAATGTTCCTGTTGGGAATTGGCTGCAAATTATAGATGTATTATTCTTTTCTAGGACCTGCAATTCTCAGAAAATATTTCTAATATGTACAGGAAGTGAACAAGCGTGCACCATATCGATTCTGATGTGTGGTTTACAGCCTCAGTACAGACAACCTAAAGTAGAGAAAGATGGCTGCTTCTCAGCCTACAGTGTCAATGGTCATCATGCCTGCTTCTGAGACTTCTGGTGTTTCACCTCCTGCAAAGAGCCCAAACAGCAAGATCAGCTTGAAAAGCAGGTCATACCGTACAAATGTCACTGCGGTCCTAATTTACTGTACCTCATCTGGAATGGCGTGCATCCCCTCCGTCTTCAAAACATCACCGCTGCTGCTCCCTTTTCCCTCCTTCCCACCCTCAGCAGCACCCTTCCCAGGAGAGCGAGCCTTCGCCATAGCCTCAACATACCCCTTCATCTCGCCATACCTAGAAACCTCCTCATCAGGCTCCAGATCCGTATCCCTCACAAGCTCTGCCAGGCTCTTGCTGCCCGGCTTTGCAACAACTGGTTTCTCCTTAGAAGAATGCGTGGAAGAGGCAGACACAGGAGCTGAGGTGGCGCGTGGAAGGGGAGTGCCTGCGGAAGGGGTGGGAGCCTTGCTGCTCCTCAGAGCCGCTGCATCTCGCGACAGCGTCGACTCCTGTGGTGGCGATTTGGACTCACGCCGTTCTTTCTGCTCTGCCTTGTCCGAGTGCCTCGGGGCTTGAGCGTGGAGCTCTTGCATGTTGCCACTGTATCGAAAATTGCTAAGCAGGGAGAGAGCAGGAACTGCTAAGCTAAGCTCGATTCTGTGTTCGGAGAGCGGTGGGGAAATTCAAGCTCGTTCTGATCTGACTGAATATCGTACAAGACAATTCGATGGGTTGGAAAAATAATGGACGATGCACGCGCGAGTCAGGAGGAAGCGGGACATGCTGGCTCGAGCTCGCAAACAGCATCCATCCATCCCACCAGGCTCTCGACATTTTGCAGGCGGCTCGCTCGAGAAACGTAGCCATGCACAGCCCAAGCCCGAGGGTCTCGGGGATTCACATATTGAGCAGTCCAGTACACCCCATGCATACATCCTTGATTGTAATAAATTCTGACTAGAATTAGTGCAATTCATGCAGCTAAAACAGGGAAACCTACGTTGGAATTTTTAAGCATTTTATTTAGTTGAAGAACTGGGCGTCTAATTTGATCCAGGTACTTCTAAACGCGATGTCTAGAACCCTACACCCGTTTCGGCTTGTGCAGCTTGGCGTACGAGATGATCCTACGACCGTTGATTGGCCTGGGGAGACGGTTGTTGGTGCGCTGACCGCTGGATGCGGCGAGCAGGTTCATGTAACTCTCGACCTGCAGGGGAGGGAGAGGCGCAAAATCAGACGTTAGCGACGGATACCGCAAGGGATGTGTTCATACATAACACATCGCAAAAAATAAATAACTACAAAACTGTCGTATTCGCCTGTACACTCACCTGCTCGACAGAGCCGTAGAGGCCGCGCTTGAGGATGAACCACTCGATGTTGGGCGCGCACGGCGGGTAAGTGGTCGAGCCGTGGTAGTACCAGAAGCCGTACTTCACGTTCAGTGCCTCCTTGAAGTTTGTCGTTGCGGGCACGGAAACCGACGTGTTCACGGTCTTGGGAACATATGGCAGCCACCTGCGCGGAGAATCAAGCGGGGAAGGAGCGAGGGGGGCAGGGACGGAAAGAGACCGTCAGGGAAGCGGAAGGAGAAGGGTGGGAGGCGCGGATACAGGCAAAAAATAACTAAATAGGGGCGGCGGCGGATGTATCTAGATGCGCAGTCCTGTTGCGTTCTCAGGGGTACTCACTTGTCGAGCCACGGGTTTCGGACGTTGTTCTTTTGAATCACAATCATCACGGAGATGATGGCGCCCTTCGCGGGATTTTCAACGTGCTCGTGCACGAAGTGCGCCTCGAGCGGCGCGGGCGCGCCGAGAATGGTGTGTTCCGACGTGGCGCGCAGCAGAATGCCGAGCAGACGGAACTTGCCCGTGGACGTGTACATGAAATTATCGGTGCCAGCTTGCGGTTGCACCCCTGGTGGGTTCAGCAGACAGAAACAACAAAAGCCGGAACCGACCTCAATTAGCCAGAAACAAAATTGCGTCGACAATATCGAGACTTAGCAACAAACTTGGGCTCTTAATTTACCCGCTTTCATTTTACCCGTTAAGTCAAAAGAATTGTGTAGTATTAGAGTGGGAAGAGTACCTCCTGTGAAGCCGAAGTTGGAGACGGTGAGCGATTTGCTGAGGGCGTAGCTGATGTTGAGGAAGCGATTGTCCTTGCCCTTTATCGCCATCGACGGCTCGATGTTAATCGGCGATTGCGCGCGGGACGTTTGACAAGCACCCTGTTGACAGGACATGGGACGCGTGGAGAGGAAAAAGGAAAAATCGAACATGAAATGACTGTTGGAAGACGATTGGTTTCATGTACAACGGCGCCTACAGCGGCGCTGGAGGATTGAGTTATTTTCCGGACTAATGAAGCCCAAGCCTTTGTTCCCATGAAACGGCATGTTCTCGTGAAAACCGAGGCACCCCGCGCACCCGTGTCTTGAAACAGGAGTATCGGTTCTTAGTAAAGGTCACCGAAGACGGACACTTCAGTATAAGATACTAAGCGTTAGATGGACGTACCGTCCAATCTTGGCCGCTCTTGACGTAGTTCCATGCGTGTACGCTGGATGTTAGCGCGAGTAATAGAACGGCTAGAATTGGTCTGCGATCCATGTGGGCCTATGCTACGCTTGACGCTACCTCTATGCACAAGCAGGCGTCGAAGGTTTTGCTAAGAACAATCTGTAGAGCCAGGGAAGTACCCTTGGCGTATGGCCTAAGCAGAGTTGACTGATGAAAAATAGTGCTCTTCTGTGGCTTTTGTGCGAGCACATAAAGAGGCACTTCACGAGTCGTCACCTGTTTCTCCTACAGCTGTGAAAGATGGTGCTGGAAATCGCGCCCAAAAGTGTGGGCGATTTCCGCCACGAGTGGGAGCAAGGAGGAGAGGCGCAAGCAGCGTTGCATTTGATGTGTCGCACGGCCAGGCCCTAATGGTCATGGCGCACCACGTTTTTCGCCCAGGGAGTGAAGCCGTCGTTCATTGTCGCTTGGAAGCCCTGAAATGTCGCAGAGAAGGGTGGGGGACAGCACATGAGGTTGACCGTACGCGGTGCTGAATGGGGGGCGGTGATGCTTATGTGGAATCGCGACTCGGGGTCGAAGCGCAATGTTGCCACGGTGCGTGTCGGTGCGCGCTGATTCTCACACGATCGCAGCCACTCCGAGGTTTGGGGTCGGCCCAGTGCTGAGCACGCCGAAATCGGATTGGCGCAAGAAGCCGAACATGCTTCAAGTGAGGAGACGAGGCAAGTTGGATGCTGCGTAAATTTGAAGTGAATTGACCATTTTCCGTAAATCACATTATCAAATGTCAGTGTTCTTTCTTGAATGGAAAAAGAGGCTTTGCTGTTACATAGCATTGATGCTTCTACAAGAAAGGATTTTGTATCAATAAATGTGAAAATGAGGAATCCATTGCAACAAAACCCATACATTGGTTCTTGGACCTAATCATGTCCTATCATATGACCATGCCCATTATCAGGACCAAGCTTTATGGTAATCAGGCCATGACTGTAGTGAAGTAGGTGACCTCCCGACCATTCAGCGGCTCGGGCATGCGGTTGTTGGTGCGCTCCTTGTTCATGCTGGCGATCAGATTCATGAATGTAGCAGTCTGACAGGAAGAGACGGGAGGATGGGTGGGTGGGGGAGGAGGAGGGGGTGAACGGGGATTAGGGGGGAAGTGTGGAAAGGGACGACAGGGAAGAAGGGACGGTATTAACGATGCTAATGCACGGTACTGTCATGCCGTAAAATGCATGCTAAAAGCACATCTCACCTGGGCATCGGAGAGGACTTGGGCCTTGCGCAGCACGTACCACTCCACGATCTCATCACAGCCCGGTGTGGTGAGCGAGCCAGGGTAGCGCCACTCATATCCAGGTGCCCCAAACTGCATAAGCAGCTCTCCTAAGCATCTCTCATAAGCGTCTCTCACCTGGGCAACGGATAGAAACTGGGCCTTGCGCAGCACATGCCACTCCACGATCTCATCACAGCCCGGCGTCGTGAGCGAGCCGGGGTAGCGCCAGAATCCCATGGACACATCCACCATCTGCCTCCAGAAGTTCCTGGGGATGTCAATTGTCGCTGTCCCGTTCACCTCTGAGGGGGTGCTGCCCAGCCACCTGGGGGGGGGAATAAGGGTGATGAACAGTCGTGTGACAGAATGAAATGGGGTGAGCGAGCCGGGGTAGCGCCAGAACCCCATGGACACATCCACCATCCGCCTCCAGAAGTTCCTGGGGACATTGATGGTTGCCGTCCCGTTCACCTCTGAGGGTGTTTGCCCCAACCAGCTGTGGGGAAATAAAGGTGGAGACGGAAATCGATGATGTATTGTCAAGAAGAAGGATAGGGAATCTCAAGAATCCCAAGGAGGGCTAAACATAGCAACAGACGAAAAGAAACCCAAGTCTGGGAGAACAGTAGAACAAACTGGACGACACACGGTGGCGAGCCTGGAGTAAAACAAACTCGTCGACGTGCGCGTGCACGAGGTGCGCCTCAATGGGCGCGAATAGCATGTTAATGGCATGCACGCGCACACACGCACAGCTCAGTTTCTAGTCTGATGCTACTCACGTGTTGACCCAAGGGCTGGCATGGTCGTCGCGCTGCAGGCGGAGCATGACGCCCACAACAGCCAGCCTGGAGGGGTCGTCGGTGTGGGCGTGCACGAAGTGCGCCTCCACGGGCGCGAACAGCCCGTTGACGGCATGCTCTGAGAAGGCGTGCACGTGCACCTGCTTCAAGGTGTAGGTGCCGCTCGCGATGTGCAGCTTGTAGGTGTTAGATGGGTTGGGAATCACCTCTGTTGAGTCAGGAAAAAGGGCAGGGGGAGGGGCAGGGGGAGGAATAGGGGGGGGAAGGGAGATGTGGAGAAGGGGGGAATATCCGGTTGATGGCATGGTCCACATGGGCGTGCACTAGGTGTGCCTCCATGGGTGGGAAGAGCCCGTTGACGGCATGCTCTGAGAAGGCGTGCACGTGCACCTGCTTCAGCTCGTGAGCGCTGCTTGCGCTGTGCAGCCTGTAGGCGCTAGATGGATTGGGAACCACCTCGGGGGAGAGAGAGAAAACGGGGTGAACGGTTGTGGGGGCGAAGGAATGGATGGTAGAACATACAATGAACAGACAAGCGCGCGAATGGAAAAGGCAGAGGTTCGAAGAGAGGCGGGCGGGAACACTCACGGACGGTGTAGCCCTTGTTGACGACGGTGGCAGTGGTGGGCGCGGAGTCATATTGAAGAGCAAACTTCTCTGGTGTGTTCACCGTCGTTGCCTCGTCCATCACAATGTTGATTGGCGACTGGCTCTCGCCTGACGCGCACACGCCCTGATGGCCAATAGGGGAGGGCGGGGGTGCGAGGAGAATAGACAATGGACAGCTAAGATGGCAATCCATCTTAAAAACACCTTCCAGCCCTTCCCACTCGCTCGCTACTCTCCGCCCGCTCACGCGTCCCTAGGCGGCAAGTCACGCACCTCCCAGTCGAGCCCGCTCTTGCTGTAATCCACTCTCGCGGCTCTCGCGGCGGGAAGAGCGGCGAGGAGAGTGGCGGCCGTGAGGGCAACCGCCGCCATCAGCGTCAGGGAAGCCATTTCGCGAAATACCACAAGAGCCATTTCGCCGCGAAGGGAGGTACGACGAGCGAGGATGAAGACGAGGATACTAATGATGAGCATGAGTTTGCGATGATCGACCGTGTGTGGAAGCAGAAGCAGGCGCGATTTCGTTGCTCTGCGTGTTGCGGAATGAGTTTCAGGCCGCAAAGCAGTGGTACTGGATAATTTAGCCTATGATAGTACTGCGTTTTGTACAGTCAGGACTTCGCGGTGAAGTGATCGATCGACGCGTCACGTGCCTGGGTAGTGGTACTACCCGGGCGAGTCGCAATGAAAACGAACCAGCCCTACCCCACGCTTGGACGCGAATTGCAGCAAAGAACGTTCCGCGGTCCCAATTTCCGGATAAGATTCCGAGGCGTTGCGACCAAGTCGCCGACGCGATCCGCCGGATTCATTCTGCTGTATCGCGGACAGGGTGACGATGCCTCCAAGGTTCGCCGAAAGGACGTTGCGCGGCCGTGCTAACGTGGAGCTGACGTAGCAGCGGTGGGAGAGACGCCTGGAAGCGGAATAGCGGCGTTCGCTTCTGGTGGCTCTTCGGAGAGAGAGGGGGACGTCATCGATATGCTAATTCGCGATTGGCTGAGCTAATTCGAAACTGGGTGGCTCGGGTTAGACGCAGCAAGGCAAGATGGCCCGTCAAATCCGTCAGTCCCGTCCATTTCACCTTTCCCACTGATCGGCGCACCCGTCGGCTGTGTCGCCTAGCGCGATACTAAGCGGCTCGGCTCTAATAGTGGGGAACGGCAGCTAAAGAATGAAGGACGCGACTGCGTGCGAGAGGTCAGCCGATCGGTGCCAAGTAAATCTGATGTGTATCCTATGAACAGTCTTCATTCTGTTATAATAAAACTGCACTTGTGCATATGTATACTTGTTTCTGCTCTGAGGGTTTTTGGCTAGTCGTTGTTAGTCAGCTTATCTTTCGTGAACATAGCGCATGCAACACTTGTACTGTACGCCAACAGAAAACAGATGGCCACGTCCATCATGTTCACACAATGTCTGTCTGCCTTTCAACACTAAAATTGCACAACAAAATGTTTCAACTATCCTACATCCGACTTCGCCCATCAAACCCTTCCCCTCCACCTGACAGGCGTTGTCTAAGGCAGGCAGCAACTGCATCTATGAACTCCTCCGTGTTGAGATAGTCTGTGCGCGAGACTCTACAGTGGCAAGGGGGAGGAGGGAAAGGGGGCAGAGAGGAGGGGGGGAGGGGGGGGGGGGGGGGGGGGGGTATGGCGGGCGGGTGTTGGCAGGGAAATGGATGCAAGCAGCGGGTAACTCTGAAAAAAGCATATTGAAGGAACGGACTACCGAGCCTAGGTGAGAATGGTCAAGGCTATTCAGGGTAGTGAAGCGAAAGGCTGGAGAAGGGGGAAAGACGGGTAGGTACCGGTAAGTCTACCTGCCACATCGGACGAAAATGACTGACTGACTACTCAACGTACTTGTTTCCATGCACCAGTAGGGCCAGGTCCCGGGTCATTCCACCGCTCTCCACCGTTTCAACACACGCCGCCTCCAGCTGATTGCAGAACGCTGCGAGCCTGCTGTTGCCGTCTAGAGAGGCGCTGGATAGAGAGGGGCATGGGGTGGTGAGGGGAGAGAGGGATGGGAGGAGGGAAGAAGGGGCCAAGATGAACGCAGCGAGGCTGCCGTTGCCGTCTTGAGAGGCCCTGATAGAGGGGGCATGGGGAAGGGCAGAGGCGGGAGAGGCGATAGCGAAGGGTGGAAGGAAGAAGGGTACCGAAAATGAGAAACCAGGAAGGGGGGCGATACATGACAGAGCTATTGATAATTCACTGATTGGCTTGGGCACCCACGCTGCTCAGTTGAAATCACTTTTGATATTTCTCAAAAGTGATTTCAACATGAGAAACCAGGAAGGGGGGCGGTACATAACAGAGCTATTGAAAATTCACTCATTGGCTTGGGCACCCACGCTGCTCAGCGTCTCTTCCTAACACAACAAAGTGATTGCTCTCCTTACTCACCAAAATCCACCTGCCCCACAAACCCACTTGCCCTCCTCAACCCTCATGCCAACACCCACCGGTGTGCAAGCCCCTTGGACCAGGCAAAGATGGAGGCGATGCTATTGGTGCTGGTCTGCTCCCCCCCTTCCCCTGGTTCAACACGCCAATCTACCTATGGCGCTGGCCCTAACCCTCGAGCACCCCAAGCCACCAAACATGCCCCCCACCCACCGGTGGGCGAGCCCCTTGGACCAGGCGAAGATGGAGGCGATGCTGTTGGTGCTGGTCTCCCCGCCCCTCTGATATTCCATCACGCCAAGCTTTCTATGCCCGTCCTGAAACCCACCTGTCCACCCCTACACCCATCTGTCTAACCGAACCCAACTCACCGGTGTGCAAGCTCCTTGGACCAGGCGAAGATGGAGGCGATGCTGTTGGTGCTGGTCTCCCCGCCCCTCCTAAGGTTCAGTGCCTGTCTTTTCATAGAGCTTCCCCCAACACAATATGTTGTGAACCCACCGGTGAGCGAGCCCCTTGGACCAGGCGAAGATGGAGGCAATGCTGTTGATGCTCGTCTCTCTGCCCCTCTTCCCAAGGTTCAGCGCCTGCCTTTCCATGCTGCTTCCCCCAATACACATGCTCCAGAAGTGCTGTGAACCCACCGGTGGGCAAGTCCCTTGGACCACGCAAAGATGGAGGCAATGCTGTTGGTGCTGGTCTCTCCTCCCCTCTGGTGCACGCGGTAGTGCCGTGTCACTGTTCCATGTGCTGCCTCCGCTTCCACTGTCTTCCCATCCGGACACACCTAGCAGGCACACGTAAGGTTTGATTAAAGGCAACGAGTCAATCGCCGGTAAATTACTCTCGCGTCTGATGCACGCAGCAGTACCGCAACACCATGCTGTCTGCTACATCCACCTCGACGGGTAATTTCGGACAATATGCTGTTGTTCAAGGGTTAACAACCCTGGATAACCAGCTGGTTATTGTGCACGTAAGACAGCGACAGTGGCACAGCAATACCGGAAGCCACTCACCAGAATGCTGGTCATGAGGCCTAGAGATCCAAACCCTGCAAGAGGAAAACCGCCGAGCTATTGTCAGAAACATGAGCACTACATGGTAGAAAGGAAGACATGACCATCATCACGTCGCAGTGCAAACTCTTGCTGCTTCTCTCGGCCCGAATTCCTCCGCACATTGCTTCTCTCGGCTCCGCACTTTGTCACACATACTTTTATAGCACTCCCACCCAACACCACCGCTCGCCGCTACTCCTACCCACCCACCCTGCGCCAGCATATCGCTCTGCACGTTTGCACCCTAGCTTTTGCACGCCCATCACAGTTCCTGCACACAAGATTCATGTTCTATCCTCCCTGCTCTCCCCACCCACATACCCTGTGCCAGCATGTCGCTCTGCACGTCTCCATCATAGTTCTTGCACGCCCACACAAACGCCCCCGGGCTCTTGAGACAAAATGCCACCATGTCATCGATCAGCCGGTGCTCATACCACACCCCCGCTGCCTCAAACCTCTTCCTCCACTTGCTCTCATAGACACTTTGAAAGATGTCCTTGAACCTGCGTGAAGGGAGGGAGCATATAGGGGTGCATTGCATGTGGCTTGTGAACACACGAACGCCCCCGGGCAAAATGCCACCATGTCATCGATCAGCCGGTGCTCATACCACACCCCTGCCGCTTCAAACTTTTCCCTCCACTTGGCCTCGTACACCTGCTGGAAAATGTCCTTCAACCTCGAGAGCATGTAGGGAGCATGTGCGAGGGGTGTAACACGAAATGTGTGACTTACATGTATGAAAGCTCACAAGCATGTACACCCACCCACCCTCCTGCCGTCGTAGGTCTTGAGGATGGTGTTTTTGGTGCTGAGATACAGCGGCCACCGCTTCTGGTACGTGGTGGTGACTTTTAAGACAACTCAAAAACCACCTACCTCCACTCTCTCTCCGCAACCCCCCACACACACGCACCTGCCGTCGTAGGTCTTGAGGATGGTGTTCTTGGTGCTGAGATACAGCGGCCACCGCTTCTGGTAGGCCATGGCCATGGATGACTCTGCGAATGCCCTGATGGACTGCACTCAACATCAGTCAACGGGGGTCAACAGGGGTGAGAAGTGAGTCAACAAAAGTCAATGGGCCACCTCGCCTGATACACAATGGCAGTCAATCAATTGGGTCAATGGGGATCAAATGGGGTACCACATTCCGAATCCCAGGAATTTTTGCCCAGCCCACCTCAACTGTATTGTACATGGCAAGAGCCACGCCGCGAGCTGCGGCAGCCGCAGCAGCACTGCTGGCAGCAGGGGCAACAATCCACGTAATAACATATCCCAATCCACAATAATCCCCTGCCCTGCCCACCTCATCTGTATTGTACATGGCAAGAGCCACACCGCCAGCAGCAGCAGGAGCAGATTGGGGCGATGTGAACTGATACACGTCCAGCACTTGACTGGTGCCTTGAGGGGTCTCTGGTGGGTGAGGAAGCAGGGCGGTATGACACAGAGGGGCATGACAGAGAGGGATCAGTAGCGCTGCAGCAGACTGGCTGGGGCGATGTGAACTGATACACGTCCAGAGAGGGGTATGACAGAGAGGGGTATGACAGAGAGGGGTATGACAGAGAGGGGTATGACAGAGAGGGGTATGACAGAGAGGGGCATGACAGAGAGGCATCAGTAGAGCTCTGCAGCAGACTGAGGCGATTTGAACTCGTACACGTCCATGACTTGACTGGTGCCTTGGGGGTGTTCTGATGGGAGAGGAAGCAGGGCAGCATCGCACAGAGGGGTAGGCAGGACAGAGAGGCATCGGTAGTAGCGCTGGTGGTGGACCGTAGACCAGCTTGAGCTTGCCCGGCCGATCACTATGGGGTGTGTCCGTACATATACGTCAGTAGCACTTAAATACACTCTACTCACCGTAGACTAGCTTGAGCTTGCCAGGGCCGGGAATGCTCATCTCTGTGGCTCGGTACTGATCCCCGAAGGCATGCCGGCCTATCACTACGGGGTGGGTCCATGCGTACGTGCACATATCCTTCATATACTTCACTATTGGATCTGCACTCACCATAGACGAGCTTGAGCCTGCCAGGGCCGGGAATGGCCATCTCCGTGGCTCGGTACTGATCCCCAAAGGCATGCCGGCCTATTACTATGGGGTGTGTCCATGCTGGGGTGACATGGGGGTTGAAGGCAGGACGAGCGGCATGCGAGCGCATGGACAAACGCATAAAAAGGGTTAGGCTGGTGTGACATGAGGAGGTGAAGGGACAACGAGGGAAAGCGGGAGGAGGCGGAGGAGAGTGTGGAGTGAAACAAGCAAGGGTGAGCGTGGGAGGACGGGGATGTGAGAGGGAGACTCTTGGACGGCGAAAGAGGGGAAGAGCAAGGGGAGGGAGGGGCAGGTTGAGGGGCCGGGAGGTTGATGGGCCGGGAGGTTGATGGGCCGGGAGGTTGATGGGTGACTCACAGGGCACGAGGCGGGGAATGTTGCGGATGAGAATTGGTTCCCGGAACACAGTGCCTGGAGGAGAGGGGGGATAGATGGGGGGATAGATGGGGGTAAGGAACAGGTTTCCAAAACACAGTGGTTCAGGTGTGAAGGAATAAAGGGCCGAATGAGTCGACAGTTTGTGAAGTGCGTTGGAAAAAAAGATCGGAGGCGGCATGTAGTGATATATGATGAGGAGGCACTTTTGTAAATGAGGAGGTATGGAAGGAATAAACGCATCTAGCTGGCAGATGAGAACACTGTCTTGCAAATGCATGGCTTACTGAGGGAGAATGCATGCACATGCACACGAGCACACGTGTTACACACCCACATATGCACCATCATATCGTACCATTCAGTATGTTGCGGATGGTGCCTGCACGAATCAGAAGGAGAAAGACACCGCAGTTGGGGGGGAACAAAACACAGGGGAGAAGAGCGGTGGAGAGGCAGAGAGACGTGGCAACATTGTTGGCCAGTGATACCAACACATCTTTACCAGGTGATATTGTGAGAAGTAGAGATACTTCAGTCAATTTAAACCTAAGAACAGCGTCCCTTGGTACCAACAAATGTTTACCAGGTGGGGTATTGTGAGAACTGAAAATAACCACAACATTTGTAATGAGACCCCGTTTTCTCTTTACTTTCTACCTTTGTGGCATCTTACCATTGGGGCTCTTCCACATGGCCTTGAGACCGAACTCCCGCACCCTCTCTTCGTCTAAATGCATGCAGGGGAGCATGAAAGGGAGTGCCCAGGAGGCATGAAATTAAGGGAGAGGTGAGAAAGGAGCATGATGTCATGGCCCCCCTGCATTCTCCCTTTCATGCTCCCATGCATGCAAGGAAAGTGCTCTGTGCTGCAACGCACGCACAACCGAGATGCACCAAGCAGGAGAGTTCCGCGTTTAGGCTTGAAAACCACTCGACACTGTCCCACCCACCGCTATTCGGCCTACGGCTCGCCCGCACACTCGCAACCACTCGACCTACCACTGTCCCATCCACCACTGTTAGCCGCAAGACATACGCACCAGGAGTGATTGTCGCACACTTGACAGCAACATTATACCTGTTTGATTCAGAAGAAGACACACACTTGGGGAAGGTTGGGTGATTGGAAGAAGAAGATTCTTGTAGAGGCGAGCGAGCATGGAAGCTATTTGAAAAACGATGACGAGAAGCAGAGCAGAGCAGGGAGGAACAAGGAGGAGCAAGCAACGGGAAGAGGGGAAAGATCCAGAGGGGGTTGGGGAGGGGTTGTTCACACGCCGGGAGTAACGAGAAGAGGCGATTTCCAGAGCGAATGAGCAGCTGAGGGCCTCACTTGAGCGTTGCTTGCGCGCTCTCAATCGTGACCTGGTCGTTGGTGGCCTCGCGGTGAGGCAGGCCCAGGTCGAAGTACTTGATTCTGAGATCCAAGAAGGGGTGAATGAGCTGTGGGGAGGGGAGAGAACGGCGGCAAGGATGGATGGGGCATGAGCAGTAAATGGGCAGGTGCACGGCAATGGGCAGGCCCAGGTTTAAATACTTGATGTTGAGATCGAGGAAGGGGTGGTTGAGCTGCGGAGAGAGGAGTACAGAGGCAGGCAGGGAGAGAGAAGGATGGATGGGGAATGGAGAACATCAGGTTCTGACAGCGCGTATGAATTTGAGGCAGGCCCAGGTCTGAAGACTTGATGTTGAGATCGAGGAAGGGGTGGTTGAGCTGCGGGGAGGGAGAGAGAACGGAGGCAGGGAGGCAGAAAGGGTTTAGGGAGAGAGAAGGATGGATGGGGAATGGAGAACATCAGGTTCTGACAGCGCGTATGAATTTGAGGCAGGCCCAGGTCTAAAGACTTGATGTTGAGATCGAGGAAGGGGTGGTTGAGCTGCGGGGAGGGAGAGAGAACGGAGGCAGGGAGGCAGAAAGGGTTTAGGGAGAGAGAAGGATGGATGGGGAATGGAGAACATCAGGTTCTGACAGCGCGTATGAATTTGAGGCAGGCCCAGGTCTAAAGACTTGATGTTGAGATCGAGGAAGGGGTGGTTGAGCTGCGGGGAGGGAGAGAGAACGGAGGCAGGGAGGCAGAAAGGCAGGGAGGGAGGGAGGCAGAGGGATGGATGAAGGATGAGCAGTACCAGGTGCATGGCAATGGGCAGGCCCAGGCGGAAGTTGATATTGAGATTCAGGGTACGTTCCTGGCTAGTGTCAAGCTTCCGGTCATCCGCGGATGACCGGAAGTTGGACCCACTTTGGGCCATCCGAGACCAACTTCGGGTCTTCCGGCCAAAAATTGCCCCTGTTTCCGGAAGACCTGAAGTTTGACAGGAAGTTTGACCCAAAGCTTCGGGCCTTCCCGGAAAAACCCGAAGCTTGACACGGGCCAGGAACGTACCCTCAGCAAGGGTGGATGAGCTGCGGAGCGAGGAGGGTACAGGGAAGTACAGGGCAGGCACGCAGGCAGGCAGGCAGAAGGACGAATGAGGTAGGGAATGCTGCATGCACGATTGCGATTGGAATGAGGGCACGAGGCGGAATACCTTGATTTTGATTATGGACAAGATGACCCGTGCCATTTCCATTCCAAATCCAAGGCTCGGTGCGTGAATGGCGTATGCTGCGTGGACAATCACCATGAGAGCGAGCGAGGACACGAGGTGCGTGCGCGTACCTTGTCTTTGATCATGGACCAGATGACCCGTGCCATTTCATCTCCTGCACAGCGAAATTCCAGACATGGTAATGGAAATGTAAAAATAGTGTTTGCCAGCATGAGAATGGAAACAGGAGAGCAAGCAGCAAGACGGCATGCTGAGAGCGAAGTGGTTCCTCAAATCCCACTGGATTTCAGGCAACTAACGGAGTGAACAACAGCAAATCCGTACCGTCCATCTCCACGATGGGATTATCGACCGGAATCTTCTGGAACCCCATGATCGCCTCTCCGCTACTCTCGCCACCCAAAAACGACTCCAATCTGACCGTTGGGCGATGAGTGCGAGTCTCTGCTATTGCTGGGATGCTGAGGAATCGGCGACAAGTCGCGGGTTCGAATTCTGGATCCTGAATTCTGACGCGTAGCAATCCCGTAGCTACTCTGCTGCAGAGATGCCTGAGGTGTGTCATGCGAAGATGACTGAAAATGCAAGTTACTAATTGAAGAAACACTAAGTAGGGATCGCAACGCACGAAAGTTAATTCGAGAAGCACGACGACCGCATCTTGCGGGGCTCGGGGCCAGTGGAATAACAGATTTAAAAAGAAGACAGATGAAGCGCCATAGACAAAGCATCAATGGTTCATGGTACTCCAGGGGCACGGAAATCTGAACTGCAACGTGGCTTCATGAGAGTGAAGCATGCCTGGGGTTGCGTCAGAAGCACGAGAATTCCTCCCCTCCCTAATCTCCTATAAGCAACTAGCCGTTTCCAATAATACTACCGTACGGCCTTACCTCAAGCCCCAGCAAAACAGAAAAATCAGAACTCATCCACCATAAAAATATGTATTATAATGAAATTTCCGATCTGACAACCATCTTAGTCACTTCTAACTTGACCGTTCTTCATCCTTGGTAGTGTTTACCCATGATACCTACATGAGTATTCAAGCTGACTTGTTATCAAAACAATATGTCACGCACTGTCGTCTAGTACCACAATTGCATGTATATTGCTGCGATCAGAAATTGATCGTAGCCCAGGATCTACCCAGGAAGGTTCGCACGCAGTGAGATAGTTGGTGGGCCCTTGATCTCAATAGCAGAGTGAATGTAAATGCTTGAGATGATAAAAACATGCAAACAAGGTCATATAAATAAGAGTACAAGGGAATGCGAACAGACCTATCTAGCCATGTACTCTAAGGGGTACATTCCCTTATTCAAATTCACTCCCAACCGTGCGGCGCGTACAGTTTCGTAACTGTTCCCGCCAAAACCATCCTGCCTGCAGCTGCCCGATGCCGTCTGCTTCCGACGGTCCAGATGCGTTCCAACTGTCCGTCGCTTCGAGTCAATTCCAACCGTCTGACGGTTCGCGTTCATTCTCGTTACTGCGTGCTTCTCTTTGCTGCGGTGAGGAGTGCACAGTAATATCAAATATTACTATTCGTAACACCCCCCTTCACTCCTGACCGTAGCTCGACTTGACCTGCTTGACCACGCCGCTGAGTTCGGAGCAGTGCTGATACTGCTGGCGTGGCAGTCGCTTCGTGAGGAAGTCCGCTGCCATGTCACCCGTCGGGCAGTAGGTCAAGTTGACCTTGCCCTTGTCCACCTCGTCCTTCACAAAGAAGTACCGCAGCGCAATGTGCTTGGTGCGGTTGACGAAACCAGGTTTGTTCGCGATACGAATCGCGCTCTGGTTGTCACAGTGAAGGCGGAAGCTCGGCGAAGTCGGAATTTTCGCCTCTCGCAGGAGTTCCTGCAGATAGAGGCCTTCGCGAACTGCTGCGGTTGCTGCGATAAATTCTGCTTCGGCGGATGACAGGGCAACCAATTCCTGCTTCTGTGAATTCCAGGAGATTGGTCCCGATGGCTCGAGTCGGAACAGGAAGCCGGTCCTGGACCGTCGATTGTCGGGGTCTGCTGCGTGATCGGCGTCCACGTAGCCGATGAGGTTGAAGGATGGAGTTGGTGCAGTTGAGTAGCACAGCCCAATCTTGGGCGTTGAAACGAAGAATTGAAGGGCGCGCTGCAGGTCTAGGTGATTCTCGGCCGTTGGTTTGCGTGAGTACTGCGCGAGCTGACTCGCAATGTAGGAGAGATCTGGCCTGCAGGTGACAGAGGCGAAGAGGAGGCATCCCAGCTGCTGCTGGTAAGTCTGAATCCCAGCAGGGGATAGGGCTTTGTTGTCAGGTTTGTGGTTCGGTCCGGGGGTTCGGTAGGGAGTTGAGAGAGGCGCAGGTGAAATGTTGAATCGCTTCCCTAACTCCTCTGCGTACTTAGCCGCTGAGAGGTGAATGGCCTCAGGTGCGTAGGAGATGTTGAGGCCCAGGAACTGCTTCACCTCGTAGTTGCACGTGATGTCGACGCGCCCCGCCAAGGCCTTCTCGAACTGCTCCAGAAGCTCATTGTTTGAGCCTGTGTAAAGCAGGTCGTCGACGTACACGGTGAGGAGAATGTATTCCCCGCGGAAGTCGCGGCGGTACATCCCTGGATCATGCGGCATCTGCTTGAACCCGATTTCAAGCAGGATGTTGTGCAGGTACTGCTGCCACAGCCTCGGAGCCTGCTTGATGCCGTAGAGAGACTTGCGCAGCTGACACACACGCGAATCCCCTTCGCCGTAGGTGTGTGGCTGCTCCACGTAGATCACGGCGTCCACTAACGCGTACAGGAACGCGTTCTTCACGTCGATTTGACGGAGTGGCAGGTGCCTTGCGGCTGCGATGGCGAGCAGGATGCGGACGGAGGTGTGGCGGCTGACTGGGGCAAATGTCTGGTCGAAGTCGATCCCATGCCTCTGGTCATAGCCGCGAACCACCCAGCGCGCCTTGAAGCGCTCGATCGTTCCATCCGCCGCGGTCTTCACGCGGAAGACCCACTTCCCCGAGAGAATTCTTGCGCCTTTGATTGCTGCGCGGTCGACGAGCACCCAGGTGTCGCGTGATTCCAGTGCCTTGATTTCCGCGTCCATCGCTTCGCGCCACTCCTTGCTGTGTGGTCCAGAGAGGGCCTCGCGCGGATTTCGGGGCTCGATGACGCGTGGCGCTTTCGAGGTTGCAGCGTGAAGTCCGAGCAGCTGCAGTCCCGAGACGGTGCTGTCGTGGCGATGTTGCGGGACGACTTCCTGCACATCGTCGTCGTCGCTTTCAGGGTCAGGTGCTGGTGGTGCTGCGCCTCCGCCGCTTCCGCCTGTTCCGCTTCCACTTGCTCCGCCGATTCCTCCTCCAGAGGAGTCGTCGTCGTCGTCGTCGCTGCTTCGCCGATCCTCCCATGCGAATTCTCCCCTTGTATCCTGCTCCAGGATTGCTGCAGCGGCTTCGTCTTCAGGCGTTGCGTAGCTGTGGCCATCGTTGGTATAGACGCGATTCGCGTTCGCTTGCTCGTCGCGGCGGAATTGGTCGAGGAAGAGACGTTCGTAGAATATGACGTCGCGAGCGTTGGCAGTCTTCTGACTGAGGAGGTCCAGCACGATCCACGCCTTGTGTTCGTGGCTGATGCCGAGGTGAATTCCCCAGCGCGCGCGGCTGGCGAATTTGCCAATAGTTGACGTTGGCGGGCGGTACTGCACCATGCATCCCCATACGCGCAGCATCGATGTGTCCCCCTTAGTCCCGGTCCACTTGACGTGCGGGGACAGATTGCCGGTGATGGCGGTGGTCGAAAGCAGGTTGTGCACCCGCACGGCGTGGTGCATAGCGTAGGTCCAGTAGATCGGCGGCAGTTTCGACTGCTTCATCAGCGCGCGCACCTTCGTCATTAGTGTGCGGTTCGTCCGCTCAGCTACGCCCTGCTGTTGGTGTGCGTAGGGGAGAGAGATGTGGTGCTCGATCCCCTTCTGTGCCAGGAAGGTCTGCATCTGGTTGCTCCTGAACTCTGCTGCGCCGTCAGATTGCCAAATCTTAAGCTTCTTCCCAGATTGCCGCTCCGCGTGCGGCAGCCAGAGGCGAAATACCTCGTAGGCTCTGTCTCGCGACTCCACATTCACGACCCACACATAGCGCGTTCCAGCGTCAATGAAGGTGAGCGTGTATAGCTCATCCTCGACTCCGCAATGCCCCACGTTCAGGAAATCGCTGTACACCTTGTGCAGCTTGGGGTAGCGGTTTGTTCCAGGTTCGAGCAGCGGGAACGGTTGGTGGCTCAGCGCAGCTTCGGGGCAGACGGTGCAGTTGCGCGGGTGTGTCGCGCCACTCACTTCGGAGCCATCAGGGCGCAAGAGTGCGCCAGGAGCGAAGACGCCAGCGTCGATGCAGTTTTTCAGCGTCGCGCGGGAAGGGTGTCCGAGGCGCTGATGCCAGAGGGCATCGTCAGCGCGAAAGCCGGAGGTGCGCATATAGCGCGCGCGCGCTTCTTCAGGGTCTTCGTCAGGTACAGGAGCAGGTTCTGCCGCTACTTCTTCGACTTCTTCTTCTTCTGCCGCGGTAGTCAGCATCAGCGCCAAGAACTCTCTGTCGCGAATGTCAGAGAGTGGGATGTTGGTCCCAGGGATAGTTCCAGGGACTAAGGTAGGTTGGCGTGGCTCAGGGGCAGGTCCGTAGACAGTGCGACGCGGGGTTGACGGCTCGTTGCCCCAGATGATGGTGTCCCAAGGGTCGCGACGCGGGGGAATGTCTGCAGGGGGTGGTGCGAGCGGGATGTGACGCGGGGGACGACCGAGAGGAACGACTGCAGGTGCTGCTTCGATTTCTTCGCGAATGTCCTCTATTTCTTCGCGAATGTCCTCTCCCCCCCTTCGTTCTTCGCGGGAAGTGCCCCAGCCGCTGTCTGCGGCGGTAGGTACGGCGCCCCATCCTCCGCTCGCGTTGGCCCAGGTTCCGCCAGTGTCGCCCCAGCCGCCAGTATCACTGGTTCCCCATCCTCCAGCGTTCCCCCACCCCCCTTCATTGGAGGCACTTTCTTCCTCCTCGGCTCCCCAGGCGACGCAAGCGAAGGTCCCGCGGGCTTCCGTGAGACTTTGCTGGCGAAGCTCCTCAGCTTCGCGGCGCGCCAGTTCTTCCTCCTGCTCCACGGTGAGTTTTGCCGTGGGATCACGCCAGTGAGGGTAGACCTTCATGAATTCCTCGAGAGTGTAGGGGCGCGGGACTCCTCGTGAGTCCAGGCTTCCGCGGCGTTGTCCGCGCAGGATGTTGTCGAGCCGCTGGGAGGGAGGTCCAGCGTGGGGACTTTGATCGGTGCCGAACACGCGGTGAGTAGCGACTTCAAGCTCGAGCTGCGACATCCCTTCCTCGGGAGGCGCGGTACGCTCTGCTTCAGCGATGGCGGCGAG